TCTCTCTCTCTCTCTCTCTCTCTGACACACAGTCTCTCTCTCTCACGCTGTCTGTCACTGTGTCCTGATGTTTCCTTAGATTGCAGGATATACCATGCTGCCTCTGGACTAAGTTGTTCTTTTCTCAATGCTGGCTTCCTGTGGGTGGCATTAGTTGAGTTTCTCGCTCTTTCCCTTGGTTACCGATGAATGTGGCTAGTGTGAAGAAAGTTCTGATCTTTGCTGTAATCTCCTTTACAGACCATGTGACTGTCACATTACAAGTTATGTTCTTTAACATCACACTGACAGCAGAGAACTTCACCTTCTATGACTGCAGTGCAGTCCAACAGCTCTCCAGAAATTTTCCGTAAGTGTTTTCAATTTCTTTTCGAACAAAAGAAAATCAAGATGACAGACAGATAAAAACCCGAACTAGAAAGAGAAGGTTGAAAACTGGATAAGCCCCTTTCAGTTTTGAAGTAGAGACATAATGGACTTGAAACATTAACAGATGCTTTTGGACATACTGAGTTCGTCCAGCACTTTTTTTTTCAAGATTTCTAGCATCTGTAGTATTTCGCTTTTAAAAGTAAATCCAATGCTGATTCAACGTTTGGTTTATGCAGTTGAGTGTATTGCCATGGTACCAATAAAATCACGTCTTTTCATTCCATTTTTTTTTCAAATATATTTATTCATACAATGTATAAAAGTACATTTAATAACAGTTCTGATTTGACGCTACATTGAGTATGATACAGATTGGTTTCTTTCAGTACAATACTTGATGTGCCTCACTACGTTTGCCTATAAATGTTATATTTATAATGTGTGTTCATATTTATTGTCAGATATTCTCTGGTGCACAAAGCATTATTGCTGATGTTACCAAGCTACTTGAAGAGTGGCACAATAACGCAATTAATCTGCAGTGACTCAGTCCAAAGCCAACCCTCTTCTCATTCCAAATCAAAAACAGAAATTGCTGGAGAAACTCAGCAGGTCTGGCATCATCTGTGGAGAGAAAGCGGAGTTGATGTTCTGGATCCAGTGACCCTTCTTCAGAACTAGAGACGTATGGGGTTAAGGAGTGAGAAGATAAGTGGAGACGGATCCCCGAAGGACAGGCAGTTATCCCAGCGCCCCCTCCTATGGCTTCACGTTGTAATCTCCTTCAACCCATTAATTCTCTGAAATATACACAGTCATCAACTTTCTCCCTCTTGATCATGCCCGATTTTTAATTGGCCTATCATTGGTAGCCAGGCCTTTTGGGCCACTTAGGCCTTAAGGTTTGGAATTCCTTCCCTAAATCTCTCTTTCCTCTATTATGATGCTCACAGGGTTTGAGTTATAAGAAGAGGCTGGATCTGTTGGAACTTTTTTCATTGGAGTGTAGGAGGTTGAGAGGTGACCTTTTATAGAGGTTCATGAAATCATGAGTGGTTCAGATAAGGTGAATGGCAGGTTTTTTTTCTCTAGGATGGGGGAATTTCAAGACTGGGGACATATTTTTAAGGTGAGAGGAGAAAGATTTTTAAAAAAAAAAAGATGAGGGTCAATTTTTTTGCAGAGTGGTTTTTGTACAGAATGAACTTCCAAAGGATGTGGTGGATGTGGGTGCAGTTACAACATCTAAAAGACACTTAGATAAGAATAAGAAACAATTGGAGGGATATGGGCCAAGTACAGGCGGGTGGGACTGGTTTAGTTTGGGATTATGGTTGGCAGGGACTGGTTGGACAAAGGGTCTGTATCCGTGCTGTGTGACTTTCTGACTTTGACTGAGGTTTTCATTGGCTGACGCATCTGAGGCCTGAGGCAGCTCATCCATGATCTTATTGTATACCAGAGCCAGGTTGTGTAGCTGAATGGCCTACCCCCATTCCTATTTTTGATGTTCTTGTGATCCAATAACTACGTCGTGGCATGGTGTCGAATTTTATCTTATAGCTGTCCTGTGGAGCACATCGGGAAGATTTACTGCATTACAAATACTTTATAAATAGAGTTCAGTTACGGATTTGAATTGCTGTGCAATTCCAGCATTTTCCATTGCATAAATTCATGAGGTGAGCTTAGAGACCAAAGTGAATTAGTCGCCAAGAAATTTCGTAATGTTCGCTTGGTCATTAAAGGATACCGAGAACTTGCAGTTGATTTCTGAACAATCAGGAGCATTTGAGATTTTCGGATGTGTTTTTCATTTCTTCCACCCAGTGGCAGATGTGCAATGATCCTCAACAGGGCGAGAGCCCCGGTTTCTCAGTCTCCCTGCCATTGATATTGAATATATTTCTTTCTCTTCCTGCTGCCTGTCTAGGTGCCGTGGATGTGTGAGCAGTCAATGGGGGTGTAACTGGTGCGTGCTTCAGCATCACTGCACCCACAACACTACCTGTGAGGACGAGGTGATCATTTTTAACGAAAATGTAAGTGTTGCGATGGTAAGGACCGGTCACACTTCCTGGTTAGAAAAGGAAGAGTTACCACATGTTCCCAAGTGACCCCTGCTAGAAATCTTTGTGCCTCCTTGATGAGGACAGGGTGATATTTGTCTGCGATGGCCAATGTTAGCGGAATACTCGCAGTTTGAGGTCATGCGTGGATGGTCATTTTGGAGGCGGTTCACATCAACAGAGACTGAATGCATTACCAGTGGAGGGGCAGAGAGAATTTCCAGATGAAAAGGAATTGAATCTGGGACTTCTGAGCAGTGTGCTGAAAGTGAAAGTTGCTGATTATCTCCTGCAATTTTGTTTGTTTATTTTGTGTCTTCTCACACGTTTTTCCCAATCTCGGGAAATAGTGCAGAAGCGTAGGAAGGATTAACTGGCTGATTATTGACCCAGTAAACAGCTCCATGAATACTCTTTCTGGGGTGATATGCGCCAGGCAATGGAATTTGAGCCTGGAGCTACTGGCTCTGAAGCAGGAACACCATAGCCACCACCTAGTGTTCAGTTCCGGGCATCACATTACAAAATGGATTTCTTACCCCGTGTGAACTAACCAGGCCAAGAAATGTTAAGTTGTAAGGACCAGGCTTTTTTTTTCGAAGTTTAGAAGGTTATGGGATGATCTCATTGCAGGATATGATTCCAATTGTATACCAGTGCATGGATGCATAACCTTAAAACCAAAGGTAGGTCTTCCTTCTTCAAATACAGGGTGATGGGAAGCTGGGATCCTTTCCCCTCAATATCTGTTGAGGCTGAAGCAATTGAAATTTTGAAATAAATGTTTGATAGATTTTTGTGATGAAACACACACAATTAAACAGAACAGATTCGGGGCATTGAATTACCACCTGCTCTTGCTTTGGTTGAACGAACTGAACTTTGAATCATGAGGTAGGTAATAGCCATAGTTCATGAGGGATCAGAGGCCTATCTGTAGCAAAAGGACACAACTGGTTATATAGCCTGAGGAGCACCACTGGACATCAGCCATAGGCCGGGGGTAAGGAGGCAGGTCACTGCTTCAACTTGATCGGACAAGGCATCAAGACGGCACTCTTTACAAGAGTCTAAACCACACACTAGCTATCTAGCCAACTGAACTAACTGGCCCATTTGTAAATAGACATTTTGTTTTAAATTTGACCATGGGATATTTGAGAACTGTTTGTAGAACAATACAAGAAATGTGGAGCTAGGAACCTGTTGGTGTATCTCCATGACTACATACTGCTGAAGACCTGGAGTTGAAAACCCTGGGGATCTGGTGATTAGCAGGGCCCTACTTATCCTTGCACTGCACAGTGTATGTAAATGGGCAGGTGCCTCTTGTTTAAGGTATTAGGCTGTGCTCTCATTCGGTGGTGTCTGCTTTGTTGCCTAGTGGCAGGATGCCAGTTGGTGTTTCTGGGTGGTCGCGCTGAGTGACCCGGCAAAGTGAGAGCTCATCCATCAACCAGTGACAGGCAAAGGTTAATTAGCAATGCGAGGATGATGAGTTTCCTGCTATCCATTTGAGCAGGATGCTGACTGAAGTTAATTGTATAAAATAAGAACGGAAACAGTGCTGGAGTTTGTAACTGTAACCATCTTCAAAGTGCACGTCCCATCCCTTTTCAAGGCCTTGAAAGGTTCTCGCTGTTAGTGGGTTTGTAAACACTCTACAATGATGTACTTGCAGCATATTGATGCTTTTACTATTCCTGTAGCATTTCTGTGTGGAACATCAAAAGTACATTAGCACTCCAGATGTCTGACTGAGCAGTTCACATCGTACAGCTTAATTCCTAAACAGCTCACGGCCCAACAGTTTGGATTTTTTGCGATAATTTGAAAATCCCATGAAAGACGGTTCTCAAAACATCCCTAGCTTTTGAACAGTCAGTGGATGTCATGAATACCTTGGAGTTTTCAAGCATATTGAAAGAGCTATAGCCTTAATGTGATGGCTGGGATTTCACTTGTTTGTTAATCCTAATTTTTTTATTTTACTTCATTCACGGGATGTGGGTGTCTCTGGCTAAGCCAGGATTTATTGCCCAGAGGGCGGTTAAAAATCAACCACATTGCTGAGAGTCTGGAGTCACATGTAGACCAGACCAGGTAAGGATGGCAATTTCCTTCCCTAAAGGATATTAGTGAGCCAGATGGTAATACAATGTGGAGCTGAAGGAACACAGCAGGCCAGGCAGCATCAGAGGAACAGGAAAGCTGACGTTTTGGGTCAGGACCCTTTTTTTTTCATCTGACTCCAGCATCAGCAGTTCTTACTATCGGAGTGAACCAGATGGGGTTTTTCCCCTGCCAATCAGACTCTCCATTCCAGATTTTTGAAAAAATGAATTCAAATTCTCCCATCTGCCACGGTGGGATTCAAACCAGGGTCCACAGGACATTACCTGGGTCTCTGGATTAACAGTCCAGCGATAATACCACTAGGCCATCACCACCCCGTGGTAGTAGAATGAAGTAATATCAACATTTGGATATAATGTAAGAACAAAAATAAGGTACGACTCTGCCTACAGTTGATCTCAATGACAATGCGCCTTCAAAAGAACAAAACCGACAACATTAAGTCTCCCACAGACATTAACTTGTCTCTCAGAAGGTAGCAGGATACCGGAGTATGGACATAAATTTAAAAAGGGTAAAATTGAAACATTCTTAAAGAATGCAGCTTGGAATAGTGGACAACAGGGGATATGGCGAAGGGAAAGAGGAGGCTGTAAAGGGAGAATTGAGAATAAGCTGATGCATTAAAGGTTTTCAACCATTAGCAGGGAAAGAACAAGTGAAATTCTTGTGGTAGTTTACCTCCTTTCCTCCAAGTTATTTTGCAGCTTGATGTTAAAGTGCACTCATTTACCTCATACGCAATTCTTTCCTGCAAATCTGCATTTGCTATCTCAAAAAACAAATCAATCACTTTCTTGGGTGAACTGCTGTCATGTTAAATACATCTGGTCTTGAATTTATGAGCTACTCTCTGTATTAAAGGAACTGTTTGCCAAAGCTAAAACCACCAAACGAGTTCCTTGAAGTCCAGTGACTCTCTGAATAGTGTCTGTTAAAAGTTAATTTTGTTTTCAGAAGTCACTAAGAAACTAAATGACATCACCTAGCTCACCTCTCTCCAGTGTTGCTAGGAAGTCATGAAGTACCCATGCTTAACTATCCATGCCAGTGCAGGGGGTAGTACCAGTCACATACTATATTTCTGAATTAAAGATACCATTTCAAATTACAATTTGTAAAACTGCTGGAAAATACGGATGATAAACATTTCAGTGACTCCTACAATTCGAAAAGCCTTAGTTAGGCCTAAATCAAAGCCTACAGTTCCTTTAAAGAGATTTTTGCAAAGAATGGCTCTGCTGCGGTAATTCAATGTGATTTTTTTTTTTAAGAAAATACGTTTCTGTTTTAAAATTGATTCCAAATCAAAAATAATGAATTATTTTCTGTCTCTTGCTGTCCTCCTTCCCATTATCTGTGCATCTCCTTCCATTCCAATATTTTTTTTTTCCTTTCTATCTATCCTGATTGATTTAAATGGCAATCGTTCCCTGGCAGTTTGTACTACCCTACGTGGTACCTCCTACCCTTGCTACCAAGCCGCTCCGTGTTGACACTACTGCTCTTCCAACCACCATCCGCCTCACCACCACAGCTCTTACTACAAGAGCGACAACCATTCCTACCACATTGCTGGGCACAGATACCACAACAACTACGAGAACTACGACCCTGACCACATTGCCGACCACTGTGCCCACCACTTCTGTGGCGATGACCAATGCCACAGCTGGTCTGACTAGCCAGTCAACCACTGTGCCCACTGTGCAAGCACCAACGACGGTGCCCACCACCCTGGACATCACAGCTGCTCCAACCACACAATGGACCACAGCCACTCCGTCCTCTGGGGCTATTACGGTGGCTGAGAGCAGTACCCTTGGCATGACCACAACGGAGGGTACAGCACCTACCCCGGACCCATCGGGGGAGGCCTTGACCACGGTCACATATGCATCGCTGCCCACTACACTCGAAGCTCCGTCCGAAGCTGGCCCAATCACGACGGTTGTCCCCCCAACCCCTCCGACCGTCAATGCCGCCATTACAACCGCACCAGCCTCTCCTTTAAACAGTACGGAAGGTGGCGCCCTTCCTGTTGCCACGACTGCCCCTGCCGCGGATGCCACGGAGCCCCCTTCCACTCGATTGGCTGTACCAACTGACCCCCGACCTGACCACCCGACCACCCTGCCCTCTGCTAGGCCTGTGAAGGATGTTGGTGAGTGGAAGGAGCCAGATGCTTGGGTAGACCCTGTGCAGGTTGAAAACGACACAGCCGTTTTTTTGGCTGCTGCTGCGCTGCTATCAGGTGACGGAGATGTTGAGAACCCTTCTCCTGCCTTTCTCCACCTGTTTGACACTGAGGTCGACTACCACTATGATCCTGACTCTCCATCCTTCTCCGTACAGGTAAGTTTGAGTTTGTTTCTTTGTGACCAACTTTTGAGTTGAGTAGGTTCACTCGACTCAATCCTGGAGAGTTGAGCATATCTTACAAAGAAAGGTTTATCTTTCGCTTTTCATCTATTTACCGTCATTTAGTGGAGTTTAGATAAGAGGAAGGTGATATTATTGAAGCATATAAGATCCTGAATAGGGTGCACTCTAGAAGATGTGGTGAAGCCTAAAGCCAAGGGCCAAAGTTTAATAAGAAGTGGCCTCCCTTTTAAGACAGCAATAAGGAGCAATATCTTTCTCTCAAGGAGTTTGTGGAATGTCCCAGAAGATAGGAAAGGCTGGGTCTTCAAGGCTGAGATAAGTGGAATTTTGAAAGACATGAGTCGAGAGTTAAGGTGTGCGAATGGGAAAGTGGAGCTGAGATGGCATCCAGATTAGTTTAATCTTATTAAATGGTAAAGCAGACTTGAAGGGCCGAATGTAGTCCTCCTATCCCTAAGTCCTGTGTTGCAGCAGTTCAGCCGTATCTGTGTTGGGTTCTACTTTGTCCCACAACCTCTTAGCTAACTTAAAAACAAATGCCACCCACTTTAGGATCAACTAGCTAAACCCTATGGAAATATTTCCAGAAAATGATCAATAAGGCAAATTCTCTCCACTGTCGTTAATTATTTGCAATTGTATTTCAAATAAATGTTGGCTTTTGCCTGCTAAACTGATCTTCCTTTTGGTTAGTATTGTCTTGTAACAAAAACTTGAGTTCGCCATTTAAATTTTAGTATTTAATTATAAATGTTCCACAGGGGTTGTTGATGTGTTTTCTAATATGAAGGATATTTTTCTGATTTAATATTTACAAACTTTGTTGGTGTTGGTTTCCTCCTGTTTGCTTCTGTCTGCTGAACCTGTGTCTATGCTCTTTGTACAGAGCCACGAAGGGATAAATAAGGGTCCTGCGGCCTGTCCCTGTGTGAATAACATTCGAGGACCACCTCTTCTGCCCGTCAACACAGAACGGAAAATAACACTGGTGGGACAAAACTTGCACTTGTTTCAGGTCAGCATGCCTTAGATTGCAACCAGGAATGTGAATTAAGGACAGGGAATACATTGCTGGACTGTCAACATCGAACTGGATGGTGAGGGTGGGCAGCGCTTTGTCCGAGCTGGATTGGACTGGGAAGGGCTTTATAAAGCTGTTTAAAATGAAGAGGTGACGGCCATGGGTCATGTTAAACATTGATGCACAAAGAAGCTTTCAGTATTTCCTTATCAAAACATTCTGTTCCAGCTATGAAACTTTGTACTTATTTTTCACCCTTCCCTTTGTTTAGGTGTCATTGTTAATTTGCTCCTTACTCCGTTTTGAAGTAAGCTCGCTACTCAACATCGTAGGCTGTTGTTTCTCCTCTTGGATTCTATGAAACTCTAACAGTTTCTGTGGGGATATCTTGCTCCCATTGGATTATTTTCTTCCTATATCAGCGGTTGGTGTAAATGGTGACAAAAGCTAAAGTGGCATTTGCTGCTCGGCCTGTTTCTCAAGGACCAAAGCAATTGCAAAAGTGTAGGTGATCTGTCTGAGGTCACATTGCAAATGAAATACAAAAGTTTGGCACGCAGTGCGGTTGATGGTGCTGTACCCAATGATGGTGGGAAGTACAATCTCTGGTATCAGTCAGGTCCCAGAAGAAAATAAGCAATAGAACTGAACCAGAACAAGACCAATATACCATGGTATTTGGTACTGGCACCAGTAGCATTGGTCACTACACCAGTGTTACTGGTCATTGCACCAGCGATACTGGCTATGATGGGGAGCCTGCAACAGAAAGTGTTGTTATCTCTGCTGTATTTCAGCTATTGCCCAGACAGATTCTGTGTGTTTTCCTGGGGTGTTAGGAAAAGTCTGTATGGATGTGGGTTGTGTCTGATAATATCAATTGCATCATTCATTTAAGAATTTATAAAGAATTTATTTTGAGTTACATTATTATAATACATTATCAAAGGAATGTGCGCCACATAAAAAGACAATTAATGTAAAAAGTAAGGAAAGCAACAATTGCCATTCCTGATTAAAAACCCAAAAGAACTGCAGATGCTGTAAATCAGGAACAAAAACAAAGTTGCTGGAAAAGCTCAGCAGGTCTGGCAGCATCTGTGAAGGGAAAAACAGAGTTAACGTTTCGGGTCCGGTGACTCTTCCTCTGAACTGATGGTGGCCGGGAAAACATCACTTTAGATGCAGAAAATAGGGGGGGGGGGGGGTAGGGAGTAAACGCTGGGATAGTGCCCAGAGAGAGAGAGAAAGACAGTTGGACAGACAAAGAAGTTACTAACGAAATTGCCATTTCTGCTCCACACACTGCTATACATGGCTTACGTGCTTAAGTTCCCTCCTCTGGGTTGTTCAAGACTGTTGTGTTTTTAGGAATATAGCTGTGGCCTGAGGGAATGGAGTTTAAACACAGATTTGCAACATCTGTGTAGCAGTCTCCAGGATTGTCCTACCTGTAGCCACTGCAGATGCTGGCCTGAGAATCACGAAATACAATAGTGCCTCCATCTTGTGATGAGTTGGAGATGCTTGCTGCTGACTCTGTGAAACACTGTGACTGAGGTAGAGTGTGATCCTGCTCCCTTGGCAGCAGCATTAATGCAGTGGCACAGTCTTGGAAGAGACATAGCAGTGAGGGACTTCAGTGGTGAAGCCAAGACTACTTCAGATGTCATGACTTTGAGACATACCCCTGGAGGACCAAGGGTTTTTTGATTTCTTGGAATTTCTCAGTTGATGGTGGCAAGATTTTAATTGCAGCTACTGTCCCCAGCTTCTCCACCACCACCACCTCCCCACCACCCCCACCCCCACCACCCCCAACCCTTACCGTGTACCACCCGCTAGTTTCTAACTCTGCGTTCCTTTGCACATCCACACTGTGACCTCCAATCCCCACACTCTAACAGCCCTCAGCTCCCCTCCCTATTTCCAGCCAGACCCCTACATCAGTTTCCTAACACTCTTCTTGCACCCTGATCCTCTCCTCCCCTCCCCTCTCCTATCCCCACTCCTCCCCTCTCCCTACCCCTCCTCTCCCCTCCCCTCCCCTCCCCAGCACTCTTCCACTCTCCACTGCCAGCCAAACCTCCATTTCCCATTCCTCCCACTGTCCCTGACCCACAGCTCCGTTCCCTAATTCCAGGCTGCTCCTCTCTTCTTCAGCCCTCAGCCCACTTCCCTTCCTGGATCCTGGCTCACCTCCCACTTATCCCCATCCCGTGGACCCCAGGCTCTGCCCACAACCTCCTCCCTTCCCCTCCCATGCCCTGCTCTCTCTCCATTTTTCCCCCCCCACTTACAAACTCTGCCTCTCTGACGCTCCCTCCCCTCACACTCTGTCTTCCCACCTGGCTCTGTTATGCCAGCTTAGAGACAAAAAAAAACTGCAGCTGCTGGAATCCCGGGTAGACGAACAAGAGGCTGGAAGAACACAGCAGGCCAGGCACCACCTGGAAGAAAGGAAAAGTCAATGTTTTGGCTATTACTCTGAAGAAGGGTATTACCCGAAATGTTGACTTCTCCTTTTTCTCCAGATGCTGCCTGACCATCTGTTATGCCAGCGCTGTCCAACTCTTCACTGGCACCTCCCCCACCCCTGCCAACCAAGCCCTATGTCCGCTATTTCCATGAGGGCTGTACAGGTCGGGGGAGTCACTGGAGCATGGAGCCAGAGGCGAGAGAATACTTTAATGTCATATGGGAACTTTACGATTTGTGAAATTAAATGTCGGTAAAATTCATGTATCTCAAGGAAATCAGCCCAAGTTCTGGGATACCACAGATTCAGAATTTCAGGCTGCGAGATTGCCTGAAGGCGTATTTTTTTCTGGAGACTCAGCAGTGTGAATCCTTGATGCCATTTGATTCATTTCGATTAGCAGCTTTACACCAAAGAGTACAACTGATGGCAGTTGCATCTATCATTGAACATCCTGGTGTGAAACCACCTTGAATTTACACGAATTTGTGGGCAAAGGTCTGGCAGATGGAGTACAATGTTGATAAGTGTGAGGTCATCCATTTTGGTAGGAATAACAGGAAAATGGACAATGTTTTAAATGGTAAAAAATTGCAGCACGCTCCTGTGCAGAGGGACCTGGGTGTCCTTGTGCATGAGTCGCTGAAGGTGGGATTGCAGGTGCAGCAGGTAATTAAAAAGGCAAATGGAATTTTGTCTGCCATTGCTGGAGGGATGGAGTTTAAAAACAGGGAGGCTATGCTGCAGCTGTATAGGGTCCTGGTGAGGCCACACCTGGAGTACTGTGTGCAGTTTTGGTCTCCTTACTTGAGAAGAGATATACTAGCACTGGAGGGGGTGCAGAGGAGATTCACTCGGTTAATTCCAGAGTTGAGAGGGTTGGATTATGAGGAGAGACTGAGTAGACTGGGATTATACTCATTGGAATTCAGAAGAATGAGGGGAGATCTTATAGAAACATATAAGATTATGAAGGGAATAGATAAGGTGGAGGCAGGGAGGTTGTTTCCGCTAGCAGGTGAAACTAGGACAAGAGGGCATCGCCTCAAAACAAAGGGAAGCAGATGTAGGACTGAGGTCAGGAGGAACTTCTTCACCCAAAGGGTTGTGAATCTGTGGAATTCCCTGCCCAGTGAAGCGGTTGAAGCTACCTCGCTGAATGTTTTTAAGGCAAGGCTAGATAAATTTTTGAACAGTAAAGGAATTAAGGGTTATGGTGAGTGGGCGGGTAAGTGGAGCTGAGTCTCAAAAAGATCAGCCATGATCTTATTAAATGGCGGGGCAGGCTCGAGGGCCCAGATGGCCTACTCCTGCTCCTAGTTCTTATGTTCTTATGAGAGAATAAAGAGCCAAGCTTCAGCACATTAGGAAGCAGTCACTTCTGTTTGCAGTCTGTTCTGTGCTAAGTGTAGTGCAAAACATTTTTAGATGTGCACTGCAGCTTCGTTAACATGTTTAGCACTGGATTGAGATCCTGTTTCAGTTCACATCACTCCTGACAGAATGGATAAAGGGCTTATCTCCCTGATGTAAGCGTAAGCATGGCTAAGTAAGGCTTCAGGTACATAATTCTTTGAAAGTTGCGTCACATTTAGACAGGGTGGTTAAGAAGGCATTTAACATGCATGCCTTCATTGCTCAGACCTTTTGAGTATAACAGTTGGGATGTCAGGACATTGGTGAGGCCTCTTCTGGAATGTTGTGTGTAGTTCTGGTTGCTCTGTTATCAGAAGGATATTATTAAAGTAGTGAGGGTTCAGTAAAGATTTACCAGGGTGTTGCCTGGAATGGATTGTTTGCATTATAAAAGTTGACTGGAAAGGCTGGGACTTTTTTCACTGGAGCGTCGGAGGTTGAGGAGTGATGTGCAGCGAAATGAGAAACACACCTCATGATAAAGGTGAATGGCAAGGGTCTTTTTCCTAGGGTGGGGAGTTCAAAACTAGGGGGCACATTTTTAAGGTGAGGGGAAAAAGTTTTAAAAAGGATATGAGGTGCAACTTCTTCACACAGAGTAGGTCGTGTGTGGAATGAACTTCCAGAAGAAGAGGTGGAAGCAGGTACAGTTATGACGTTTAAAAGACATTTGGATAAGTTCATGAATAGGAAAGGTTTGGAGGGATATGGGCCATGTGCACGCAGATGGGACTAGTTTAGTTTGGGAACAGGGTCAGTGTGGACTGGTTGGACCGAAGGGAATGTTTCCATCCTGTGTGACTCTGTTTGACTATAACTGAGATGTGTAGCTTTTTTCTCTTTGGAATGCTAGTCTTCAGGATGCAATGCTTCATTAGTTTTTTTAAGAGAGAATTCTGGTTTGCAAAATTGTTTCAATCTGTGCGACTAAACAATTTGTCATGACACAGTGATGTGTGCAGTCTGTGCGCTGAAAACTGCAGAGGGGCAGTGACCAGATCAAAACCTGGCAATGTTTGGTATTTCCCTGGTGTTTCCATCAGACCATTACAAGAACTGGGAGGAACAAAATTAGGTTGCATTTTGCTCCTGTCTTATTTCAAAAGGTGAAAGGGGGAGGTGGGGAAATGAATGAGATGTATTCAGAATAAAACTGAGTGACATTTTTGGTCTGATGCAGGTAGAATAAAATGTCACACCCAGACCAAAACCAATAGTAGACAGGAACCATTAATACCTTGGGAGTGTGCATTTCTGTGCACTTTTAGTAAATTGGGAGTCTAAAGTGATAGCAAATACGTACTTACTGGTCCACTTGTGCACAGAATAAGGGTATTGTATGCTCTGAGAGAGTGAAGGGCCTTTTATGTTAATCGTCTTTGGATTCTCATTCTGGGAGTTTTGCATTTCGTCACCAGCTCCTTCCTCTTTCTGTGTTTAAATCCTTTAATCCCCAGTTGAAACTTGGGTCGTTGCGTCTGCCACCAGAACATGCGAAAGGATTTAAAAGCTTATACACCAGGACCTGGCTCCTGGATACTGGAATCCGAATTGAAAGGACCTTTATGAAAGAGTCTTTGGTTTTATTTGTGAGTTAACTTTGATGGCTGGGGGATCTTTATGCATCGCTGCGGCTCCTTCTGATTTAAAGTAGAAATGCAGTTGGTGGTGGTGGGGGGGGGTCGAGGTGAGAAAATTTCCTCAGTCTGCCAAGTACAGCAAAACTGTAAACATGAGATGTGTTTCTTGTTTTGCTGCATGTCACACAGAGGAGCCCTTACTCTCAGACTTCTACAACTGTTAGAAGTGCCCTCCTTATTTGGTTTAATAGAAGTGCACACATTTCAGATTCAGCTAGGCAGTGCCTCCTTAACCTAATGTGTTTCTGCTCCCCACAGGACCCGGAAGGGAATTATGAATGTGTCTTTGTTATTGAGAGTCGGACGGTGGTGGTGGAAGCGTTTGTTGAAGGGGACGTTAATGATCCTATGTTTTACTCGATTACCTGTCGGGTGCACCAGGTAAGGAGCAAGGGATGGTTGCAGAGCCCTGGGAGATAGTCAGGTGACCGTTGATGGGCCAAGTGAGCATTCAGACCCATTACCATTGCTTAAGGGTGTGCTTCCACCACAGGCACGTTCCCATTAGAACAGGCTGCAATTTTCTGATATGGAGTAAACTTTCTGCTCAAACACATTTACCGCTTTCTGGAAGGTTTGGTTTGAAAAGAGCCAATGTTTAAGGATCACCAAGACAGCAGTGGGGGCTTTGTTGGAGTTAAACCAGCAAAATCACCTCTACCCATCAGCACGGTCTCAGTAAACACTAAATGCTCTGCTGCTTATCCAGGTGGAACCCACTGTGGTGGCGATGGAGGAGGGTGGGAGGGGCAGTGCATGGTTACCCAGATGGGAGAGGACCTGGCTATAACTTAAGGTGTAATTAAAGTTCACTAATTCATGTTATCAACTCAGGAGGCAATTGCTTTCAACGGCAGAAGAGACCAACTCCAGCAAGCTATTGAAAGAAAATTGATCTTGACAATGAGCAAGGGAATATATGATAAATATCAGAAAATGGCATTTATTTAGCCTCTTTTAATCCTTTGTGCCCTTTGAAGGGAAAGAGCAGTGGAGAAAGGGTGACCACGTTGTAGACTATGTTCCCCCTTTGGCCTAAGCTATATGCCAGGAGGACAGAGCTTATCTTTCTATTGTCTGGACACTTAGAGCAAAAGTCTTTTACATTTTACACGTCTTGAGTCCAACAGTGAATCACACGTGTGCGCAGGCAAAAGGAAGCAGATTTTGACTTTTAAATTAGATTCGGGCATTAGGTACCTACTGTCCATCCTTCATCTGTCATCCTCCTATTTCTGTCACTACAGTTTACCTACTCCACATTGCAGCAAGAGTATAACGCAACAGTGTATATCCAGCGACAGCCCAATTACAGAGTGGACAGCAGACGTGATTTGCATAGTAAGTATTTTCATGCCTTTCCTGAAGAATTTATGAAAGAAAATGGAATTATTTCTTCAGCTGCATCTCCTTTTATATCGCCAGAATGCCAACATCTTCATATAAAATGTAATGTTCATTGTATATGTTTCTGATATTTATCACTATATATAATTAGTACAGTTCACTGGTACTGATGAGCTACATTGACAGTCCTTGTGCCGTGACTGTGTACATGATAAAGTCAGGATGTGTGTTGTAGTTTGTTAAAACATCGATGCAAATGACTTGAATATTCACCGCAGTAATTAAGCCAACGGTGTTGTAATGTTCACATGAAAAGTTTACAACAAATCAGGAATGCACTTATGGCATCAAAAGTAGCTGACCTTGACCTGCACATTTTATCCTCGAACATCAGAAATAAAAATCCATTAGTGTCTTCTACCCCTGCAACACCCACCCATCTACTTATGTTCTCTCTTGAACACCCAATAGTGAAAGGAGAAGTTTTTAAATTCATTGATGTGATGTGGGCATCACTGGCTAATCTGGGACACGGTCAGCGGCCTGATTGCAAATGTGTCCGATGCGTACAATTTTTCTATATGTTGGTCTTTACTAATTTCTGGTGATAACAACATTATGCTTTCAGCTAGAAATCTGTATTTTTAAAATAATTTATTAATTTATTATTGACATAGGAAATATGAAGTCACCATCTTGTGGGTTATTTATCACTTACCCTTTTGAACTTGTTTTGTTCTGCAAGATCAGCACCTCATTTTCCCCATGGAGATCCTGCAGCCTTCAGGACTCAATGTCAAGGGCCTGAGAACCTCCTTCCATGTCCTTTACCCAGCCCCACACTCCAGGCCTTATCATGACATGGGCTGATTTCAGCACAGGCAACCATTTTCACTTACTCACCGTCCCCATTATCTCTTTCCTTCGCTTACATTCAACTATCTCTTTGTATGCATGACTTTCTTTCTCTCGCTCTGGGCTCCGTCACCACCTATCCTCTCTCTCCATCCTCCCCACCCTCTGTCATCAGCATTCCAACTTTCCCTAGCTGCTCAGTCCTGAAGGAAGCTAGCTGGACCTGAAACGTTAACTCTGCTCTCTCTTAACAGATGCTGCCGAACCTACTGAGTTTCTCCAGTAGGTTTCTGTTTTTGTTTTTATTCTGGTTCTTCTATTTGTATCAGCACACATCTAATACATTACCATTTCACCTTATCAAAGATTACATTTCTAACAGAGCTATAAGAACATGTTTTCCTAGTTTGAACTCTCTCCTCACTCCCATCACCACACTTTGCTGCTATCATGTGAAGCAAAGTCGTCACATTTGTTAGAATGTGGTACTTTTCTAAACAGGTTGAAATTTTTAAAGTCCACCCACGAGAGCTTTTTGCCCTAATACAATAAAGATGGGGCAGTGCTGGCCCTAATCCTAGGTATTGCAGCCAGTCAAGTGGCGGAATTTCCAATGGGTGAGCATTTTGGAGATAATTACCATAACTCTGTAAATTTACAAAGTCATTATGGAAAGGGTTAAAGATATGCAGAAATTAAGGGTTTAAATTTGGGGCAAGGACAATGTTAGTATAATCAGACAGGATCTGGCAAACACAGCCTAGGAGCCTACATTTGAAAGTGAGTGTGTTTTAAAAGAAGTATGAGAGATTTCAGGACCAGCGTATTCCTCTAGGAGTGAAGGGCAAGGGTAACAAGTCTAGGGATGTCAAGGGATATCAAGAGTTTTGTAAAGAAAAAGAAGGAAGCATATGTTATGTACAGCCCATTAAAAACAGGGAAGTCCCTTAGAGTGTAGGGGGTTGCTGAAAAAAGAAATTAGGAGGGCACAGAGTTACTGAAATATGTTTGGCAGAAAGAATTGAGGAAATTCTCAAGGTTTTTTGTAATATAAGACTAAGAGGATTACCAGCGAAAGCGTCAGACTTCTAAGAGACCAAAGGAGCCTGAGAATGTGGGTGAGGTCTTAAATGAACACTTCTCATCTATATTCACAGAGGAAAAAGACGTTATAGCTGGATTTCAGTTCAGGTGGTGAGATTTCAGAACATGTTAAGATTAATAAGGATTATTTAATAGCGGGCACAAAAGTGCATAAATCGCCAGGGCCTGCTGAGATGTATCCCAGGCCGCTATGGGAGACAACAGAGAAGAGTGCTGTGGCTCTGGTGGAGAGATTTAATACTTTCACAGGTGACGTGCTAGATGGCTAGAGAATAGCTGATGTGGATCCTTGTTCAGGAAGGGCAGCAGAATAGACCAGGTAATTACGGACAAGTTAGTCTGAAGAAATTATTAGAAAAATTCTGAATGACAGGATTAACCAACACTTGGAAAGGCAGGGATTGATCAAGGATAGTCACCATAGATTTGTTAGAAGGAGATCCTGTCTTGAGTCTTTTGACATGATGACTAAATATATTGATGAGGGTAGTGCAGTCGATGTGGTTTACATGGACTTCATCAAGGCCTTTGATAAGGTCCCACATGAAATGCTGGTCCAAAAGGTAACAGTCCATGGGATCCAAGGCAAGTTGGCAAACTGGATCCAAAATTGCCTTGCAAATAGGAGGCAAAGGGTGATGGTGGAGGGCTGTTTGTCTGACTGGAAGCCGGTGACCAGTGGTGTGCCACAGGGATTGATGCTGGGATCTTTGCTGTTTGTTATGTAAATTAACAAACTGGATGTAAATGTAGAAGGTATAATTTGCAAGTTTGCAGGCAACATGAAAATTGGTGATTGTTGTCGATAGTGAGGAGGATGGTTCCAGGTTACAGTCTGCTCTTGATCATCTGGTAAATTGGGCAGAGTAATAGCAGATAGAATTTAATCCTGATAAGTGCGAGGTGATGCATTTTGGGAAGTCGAATAAGGGAAGGATACACACAGTGAATGGTAGGTCACAAGGGAGTCCTGAGGAAATAAAGGGACCTTGGTGTACAAGTCCATAGACCCCTGAAGGTGTCAGCGCAAGTAGACAGGATGGTGAAGGCATGCAGGATGCTTGCATTCATTAGCCAGGACATAGAATATAGGAACAAAGAAGTCTTGTTACAACTTTATAAAATATTGGTTAGGCCACAGATGGAATACTGTATGCAGCTCTGGTTGTCACACTATGTGAAGGATGTGTTTGCACTGGAGAAGGTACAGAAGTAATTCACTGGGACGTTGCCTGGGATGAAAAGTTTCAGTTATGAGGAGACGCTGGAAAGGCTGGGCTTGCTTTCCTTGGAACAGAGAAGACTGAGGGGGTATAACACGGTTATCAGAAGAAGGGTCCAGACCTGAAACGTCCGCTCTCCTGCTCCTCTGATGCTGCCTGGCCTGCTGTGTTCATCCAGCTCTACACCTTGTTATCACAGATTCTCCAGCATCGGCAGTTCCTACTATCTCAGACTGAGCGTGGAATCTGTTTGAGGTATGCAAAATTATGAGAGGCATGGACAGAGTAGATCACGAGAAGAGGGATTGGTGCTTGGTCCACTCCTTTTTGTCATTTATACAAAAGATTTGGATGAGAATTTCGGACACGTCGTTAGTAAGTTTGCGGTTGACACCAAAATTGTTGATAGAGTGGACAATGAAGAAGGTTATCAAAGATTATAAAGGAATCTTGATCAATTGGGACAATGGGCTGAGGAGTGGCAGATGGAGTTTAATTTGGATAAATGCAAGGTATTGCATTTTTGTAAAACAAACAAGGGCAGGACTTAAAGAGTTAATGGTAGGACCTTGAGTAGTGTTGTCGAACAGAGACACCAAGGGTTCAGGTACATAATTCTTTTGAAAGCTGTATCACAGGTAGACAGTTGTTAAGGCCTTTAGCACGACTCCCTTCAGTACTCGGACCATTGGGTGTAAGAGTTGAGATGTCATATTGAGGTTGTACACTATGTTGGTGAGGACGCATGTGGAGTACAGTTCTGGTTGCCCTGCTATAGGAAGAATATTTTGAAATTGGAGAGGGTTCAGAAATGATTTACCAGGATGTTGCTGGGACTGTGGAGGGTTTGAATTATACAGATAGGCTGGATAGCCTGGGACGACTTTGGCTAGAGCATAGGAGGTTAAGGGTTGACCTTGTAGAGGTGTATAAATCATGAGAGGAATAGAGAAGGTGAATAACAAAGGTCTTTTCCCTAGGAATTGGGGAAAAACTAGAGGGCATATTTTTAAGGTAAAAGGGGAGATTTAAAAGGGACCTGAGGAGGGAACTTTTTCACACAAAAGGTAGTCTTTCACACAGTGGTTCGTGTGTGAAATGAATTGCCAGAGGAAGTGGTAGAAGTGGGTATAGTTACAACATTGAAAAAAAAAAGTTCATGAATAGAAAAGGTTTAGAGGGGCATGGGCTAAATGCAGTCAAATGGAATTAGTCTAGTTTGGGAAACTTGTTCGGGATGGATGAGTTGGATCAAAGGGTCTGTTTCCATGCTGTATGATTCTGAGGGCTCATGTATATGTGGTTGAGAGGGGATTTTAGAAAATTGTTTTCTCTCTGAGGGTGGTAGAATTATGGAACCTGCTGCCTGAGAGGGTGTTGGAGGGAGGTACATTTGCAACATTAAAGAAGCATCTGGCTCAGCACTTAAAATGCCAGGGCATAATAGGCTATGGATCACGTGCAGGTAAAAAGGATTGGTGTTCTACATTGGTTGGCATAGACATGGTGGGCTGAAGGGCCCGTTCCTATGCTGTATGGCTCTGACTGGTTAAATTTGATTAGCAGCCATGCTAAATTGAGTGGAATTCACTAACCTTGTAAATATTCCCCCAAACCTGTAGGTCAGTGTGTCCTGCGATTAATCTGTACACAGTCATTCAGCCAGATATTTCATATTTTGTTTCTATTTTGAATGAAATAACTTGTTGTGAGAGATGCTGTTTAAATACATCTCGACGTCCCAATAGGCTCCGTTATGTACTTTTTGAAATGTAGCCACTACTGTACTGTAAGATCTAGAGCAAGGTCCAAGTCAGAGCTCTCTGATTCTTGGGAGAAAATCTGTGGCATAATGACTAATACTCTCTCATTGCGCCTGTACAGTTACCCTGTATAACTGTTCCGTGGATCGAACAGACTGTAGTCGCTGTCAGACAGCAGAAACCAAGTACGCCTGTGTGTGGTGTGGGGGAGGGAAGCCCAGCTGTGTGTATGAAAAGTCCTGTGTGGACGGAGTGGAACAGACCTGCCCGGCACCTGTCATTCACTCGGTGAGTTACCATGCATGTGTAAAAACCAGGGTAACTGTAAAGTAAGCTGAAACTAGACGGGCGTGGAAATGCACGAGAGATGAGGCTCACACTGCACAAAGCACAGCATCCTGTTGAAAGGGAAGATATTAGTGTTTCAGTAGCAGAGCGATGGAAGTGCTGAACTTGAAGCCTTCGTGGGCATAAAATCAAATTCCACCACAACAGCTGGGCAGTGTGGATTCAATGAATGAAATAAACCTGGTATTAGTATCCAGTCGCCACAATGGTGACTTTGAAACTACTAGATAAATGCGGAAACACTTGTCTCACCAGAACTCTGCAGGATATCTCCCCATGGATAACAGCGTGGAGATGGAGGAACACAGCAGGTCAGGCAGCATCAGAGGAACAGGAAAGCTGACGTTTCAGGTCGGGACCCTTCTTCAGAAATGGGGGTGGGGGAAGGAAGCTCTGAAATATTTCTGAAGAAGGATCCCGACCCGAAACATCAGCTTTCCTGCTCCTCTGGCCTGCTGTGTTCCTCCAGCTCCACACTGTGTTATCTCTGACTCCAGCATCGGCAGTTGTTACTATCTCAGTATATCTGCCCAGTCAGATCTTTATATGGTAGCAGGTCAACGGCAATTTGGTTAACCCATAACCGTGTTACCCCTTAGAGCAACAAACTTTTTAACAGGAAATTTATAAAGCCATTCAAAAATATGTGAAAGGCTTTGATCGGCTGTTTCCACTGGCAAGAAAGATCAGAAGCCAGATGACAGGAGTGATCACTGAAACAGCCAATTGGGATTTGAGATTTTCTCTCTGACTGAACTGCAGTAATTGTGATTTGGAGCTATCCAGACAGGTAGTGGAATGATCTGTAGTAACTTCCTAAAAGGAAATGGATCTCCACATAAAAAGGAAAAGATTTTTTGACATGGCCGTGGGAAAAGAGCAAAGCCATGGATGTATAAGGTGTGTCTGAGAGCCAGTGTACAGACATGGATGATTTCCCATTGAATCATTCAGTGGTGCAGTATTGAGCGGTATAGACGAGCGATGTTGAGCCGCTATTAGGGAGGGAGTGATCGGTACTGCTGCCTCTCAGCACCAGGGATCTGTGTTCAATTCCAGCCTGCAGCGACTGTCTTTGTGGAGTTTACATGTTCTCCCTGTGTCTCCATGGGTTACCTTTGGACACTCCTGGTTTCCTCCCACGGTCTAAAGGTATGGGGTTAAGTGGATTGGCCATGCTAAATTGCCCATAGTGTCCAGGGATGTGCAGGCGAGGTGGACTAGCCATGGGAAATGTGGGGTTACAGAAGGACGATGGGTCTGGATGAGTGCTGTTCAGAGGGTCAGTGAAGACTCGATGGGCCAAATGGCCTGCTTCCAGACTGTAGGGATTCTGTGATTCTATGACTGTGAGTGAACAATGATTATATTTCCCAGTGAGGATTGTTGTGTGGCTTGGAGGGGAACCTGCAGGTGCTGGTGTTCCTATGTAGCTACTGCCTGTGTCCTTCAGGCAGGTAGAGTTCCCATGTTTGGAAGATGCTGTTGAAGGAACCTTGGTGAGTTACTGTAGGGCACCAGTAGATGCTGCACGCTCCTGCCACTGTAGAGCGGTGACAAAGAGAATGAAGAGGCTGCTTTGTCCTGGATGGTGTTGAGCTTCTTGAGTGCTTTGGTGCTGCACTTATTCAGGCAACTGGGGACTATTCCATCGCTCTTCTAACTTAGCGTTGAGTGTTCTACTGTTGATTATGATTCAGGGACCTCCTTTGTTGGTGTAAGGTAGGGTCAGGAGTTCTTTTTATTCTTTCATGAGATGTGAGCATCACTGGTTAGGCTAGCACTTGTTGCTCATCTCTAAATGTCCTTGACCAGCTGGGTGCTGGGTTCCCTATGTTTGAGTGACCAACTCAGCAATTAGAGAGGGCATTTGGGAATCAACCATAATGTTGTATGGCAGATTTGCTGTCTTATCACAATGAGGTATTTTTTGTGGTTATCATTTGTACTACCAACATTTTATTCCTGATTTTTTTTTTTTTTTTGATTCAGTGAATTTGTATTCCCTCAGCTGTCAGACTGGGATTTGAACTCCTATCTCTGAAGCATTAGTGCAGGTTTCTTTTACCAGTCCAGTAATATTGCCACTATGCTACCAAATGTGTGCTGCAAGATCAGCTCAATGCTGACGCCTTTAAACAATTGAATATCATGATAGAACTTGTTGTTCAGGATCAAATTAATAACATTATTTTGGATGAATAAGCAGAGGTTTTTCTAAACTTGGCAAAGATGAAGAAAAAAGAAAGCAAACTTATCAGTCTTTTTATCCCCATTTTTACAAAATTTAATTCTGAAAAACTCACATCTTGCGTGTATTGTTTTCTGAAACCGTACATCAGCATCTTGCCCCATTCAAAAGATTATTCACCTTTTCCATCACTTATCCTGCTGCTGTTACACATGCGGGTGTTAACGTGGATTCCTCTCATTCCCAGATCGACCCAACGTCAGGGCTGCAGGAAGGTGGAACCATGGTCACCATCACGGGTTCAAACTTAGGCCAGCGATTCGAGGACATCGAGAACAAGGTGACGGTGGCTGGGATCCCATGTCGTGCTGATCCTCTGAAGTACGAGGTCTCTACCAGGTCAGTCATTTAAAGATCGCCAACTACCACCGTGTGAGCAAGCACGTGGAATACCATTCACAATGCCACAAAGCTTTGAATGGTTGTTTGAGCAGAAAAGGCTAAGAGCAGATTTGACATGTATGTTTAAGATTGCGAAGCGTTTAAGAAAAGTAAATTGTTTCCGATAGTGGCAGGGTCAATGACAAAAAGGGCACTGATTAAATTAACAAATTAACCAACTGCATCATGAGGAAAAGATTGTTAACCAAGTGAGCAGCTAGGGTTTGGAATGCACAGTGTAATAAAGTGATCATTACAGATCTCAGAGTAAACATCCGAACAGAATTGAAGAAGTACTTTAATGAGAAGGAAAATGGAGAACAGTTGGACTAACGCGATTGTTGTTTGAAAGAGCCCATACATACATAATGAGTTGAATGACTTGCCCTGTTCAGTGCTGCATATTGGTACATATAGTCATAGAGTCACACAGCATGGAAACGGACCCTTTCGGCCTGACTTGTCCATGCCAACGAAGTCTCCCAACTAAACTAGTCCCGTTTACCTGCATTTGGCTCATATCCCTCTAAACCTTTCCTATTCATGGATCTGTCCAAACAGCTTTTAAATGTTGCATCTATACCTGCATCTACCACTTCCTCTGGCAGTTCGTTCCACATATGCACCACCCTCTGTGTGAAAATGTTGCCCCTCAGGTCCCTTTTTAAATCTTTCCAGTCTCAGCTGAAAAATATGGCTTCTAATTTTGAACTCCCCTACCTTAGGGAAAAGACATTGGCCATTCACCTTATCTATGCCCCTCATGATTTTATAAACCTCTATAAGGTCAACCTGCTACACTCCAGTAAAAAAAAAAAGGTCCCAGCCTATCCAACTTCTCCCTGTAACTCAAACTCTCCAGTCTTGGTAACATCCTTTTAAATCCTTTCTGCAACCTCTCCAATTTAATAATATCCTTCCTATAGCACTGATTCCATGAAAGGTTCTGTCTAATGGTGATGCTTAGCTAGAGAAACAATTAAGAATTTTAGAAGTGAATGTATTAGTCACAGATGAGCATCAGTATCCTGTCCTCTGAGGCAGCAGTTTATGGGTTCAGGTCCCACACCAGAGACTTGAATGCAAAATCCTGGCTGATGCTTCCGTGCAACGCTGAGGGACTGTTGCATTGGTGGAAGCATTATCTTCAGGATGAGATATAAAAGCATGGTCTGCCTACCCTCTTGGGGTGGTGTGAACTCCAGGAAGAGAAAGGAAGTTCTTGCCCAATATCATGACCAATATTTATATGGTTAGGTTTGAGTATCACAGGGTAGGGAATAATGTTGGGGAAATGGGGATGAGGTACAGATCAATATGATCTGATTGTATAATGGAGCGAGTTTGAGTAGCTGAATGGCCTAATCCTGCATTGTGGTCATGTTGTGGACAGTGCAGTGGTGCCAGGTATCGGAGTATCAGTTCCTTCATTTGGAAGGAAAGTTTTTTTTTGGGCTGTAAATACGCAGTCGCAGGTTACTATTTGTCATTGGTCTATAGCTGAAACTATGATTGTGACAGTTGAGTAATGTGATTTGATAGTGTTGTTGAAAATACTTGTGGGATATCATAGATCATAGAATCCCTACAGTGTGGGAACAGGCCCATTGGCCCAAGTCCACACAGACCCACTGAGCATCCCACCCAGACCCATCCCCATATAACCCACCTAATCTACACCTCCCTGAACACTACGGGCAATTTAGCATGGCCAATCCACCTAACCTGCACGTATTTGGACTGTGGGAGGAAACCGGAGGAAACCCACGGTGAGAATGTGCAAACACCACAGAGACAGTTGCCCGAAGGTGGAATCGAACCCAGGTTGCTGGCGCTGCAAGGCAGCAGTGCTAACCACTGAGCCACCGTGTCATATGAATGGATGACTTTGGTGTTTCAGCATTGTGACATGTTTTCAGCTAATGCTGTTGGGTTTCCTCCTATAGAATTGTGTGCTACACGGCAGCTGCTAATGAGGAAGTATCAGGCCAGGTGACAGTTGAAGTGGCAAATGGAGGCAGCAGCAGCTCTGTGCAGCCCTTTACTTATCAGGTCAGTATGAAATGGATTCAGTCATGTTTTTATTTCAGCTCTTTATCTTAAAAAAAAAAAAAAATGGATTCCTGGAGTTTGTTGTCATTTCTGCAAGTGGGAGATTATTTGGAATGGGAGCAGTGTTTTTTTTTAATTGGTATGTTGCAGAAGTGTACAAAGTCAGTGGTTCCAGCAGCAACCTTGAGGAGCCCTGTGGCTTTGCATGGCTGTATGCAGTGTCATTCTGAGGGGAACCTTGACTGACAGCCCCAGCACATACAACAACAACTTGGGGAAGAACTATGGATACAAGGCCAGCAGGTGCAGCTCATAAGAACCCCTCCGGGCAGAGAAGGAACAATTAATGCCGAATCTTCTGAGCATATTCAGTTAAAATTTGTAAGGGTCAGATTGCGGGAACCCAGACTGAATCAGAATCTGCTACTTGTAAAAATTTCACCAGGAGATGAGATGAATTTGATGTTGGTTCACCTGCATCAAAGTGAAATGATTGAAGAACTCTTGTAATATGTTGGACATATTCCTACCTGTGAGCCAGGAGACCCAGGTCCAAGTCCCTTCTGTTCCAGAGATGTGTTGTAATATCTCTGAGGTGGTTGATTCAAAGAAATTCTAGAGTGAAATGATTGGGATTGTAAGTTTTAATAGCTGTGATTGCTCAGTCAATTTCACCCAGATCTGGATCAATTTCACAAGTCATTAAGCAGCACCATATTGCAATTTCTTACTCCTTCAGAACCCAGTGCTGAACTCTATCTCACCATCACGAGGCCCCAAAGCTGGAGGAACACGTCTCACACTCAATGGCGTCAATTTGTTGACTGGCAGACCAAGTGATGTCCAGGTGTTTGTTGGTGACTTCCCCTGCCTCATGTAAGTATAATTATTGGAGTAGAGATGTGAATCCTTCAGACTGTTGACACAAGGACAGTGCTACAGTAGCTCAATGTGTCATACTGTTGAGTGAAAATATGCCATTTGGTAGCTATAACTCGTCCTGATCTTGGCCATACTGTCAAGGGGACATACTGAGGAGAAGTTTTGAGTTTCTTCCCTTGTCAGGAAGACGTTATCTGGCTGAATTATCTATTTAGACACCTTAGCTAAATTTGGGTTGTAATGCCAAGGTGAAGAATAGAATGGGGGAAGCGGATATTCTCAGATAACAGAGCATTGTATGCTGAAATGCTGACTTTTGTCTAAGAATATGGGAGTCACATGGGGATGATCAGGATGTTGATGAAAGAGCTTTCATTCCCACCTCTCCTGTTTTATTGGTGATCACTGCTCGTCAAAATTAAATCAGAATTAGCTTTATTGTCACATGCACTCACATGAGTACAGTGAAAAGTTTACAAGTCGCCATTTACAGCACCGTTTTTAGATACAAAGGTACCTAAGTGCAAGTTCATAAATACAAATTCTTCGGAAAAAACTTATGGAAGAAAAAAGGGCTAGCATTTCAGACTTCTGTGCCATCTGAGGTACAAAATCACAGATATAAACTAGAAAAATAAAAGAAATAAAAAGTTCCGAATAACAGTCCTTCCTACCCACTCCATGCCAGCACCTAGCCTCCAGACAACACTGGACTTCATTTAGAGGCCAGGAGTCTGCACTGGATTGACCTCGAGGCTCTCGAGCCCGGGAGTCCATCTGAATTCACCTTGAAGCTGGCAGTCCGCGCTGAGATTGGTGCCACATCCACAAGATGGTTTTTGATTTGCCAACACCCAATTGCTGTCTGTTGAGCCTTCTGATGGCCGCACAGCTGATCCAGCTTCTGTTCTCACCTGACCACCCTGTTTGGATTTTCCAGCAAAGATTAGTGAATGTTGATGAGGAGCAGGAGCCCAGCGGTTTTCCCATTCCCTAATCCAATGCCATGGGGGCCAATTGCAATGCCCCACAGAGAGCTGCTGCTGGATTCACTGAGCTTCTTTGGGGCGGCATGGTGGCTCAGTGGTTAGCACTGCTGTCTCATGGCGCCAGGGACCCGGGTTTGATTCCACCCTCGGGCGACTGTCTGTGTGGTGTTTGCACATTCTCCCTGTGTCTACGTGGGTTTCCTCCGAGTGCTCCAGTTTCCTCCCACAGTCCAAACATGTGTAGGCTAGGTGGATTGGCCGTGCTAAATTGTCCGTATTGTTCAGGGATGTGTAGATTAGGTGGGTTAAACGGGGATGGGTCTGGGGGGGATGCTCTGATGGTCCGTGTGGACTTGTTGGGCCGGAGGGCCTGTTTCCACGCTATAGGGATTCTATGATTCTTGATCTGAGAGACCGACGACTGAACTGAGGGTTAAATCTGTGGCTCTTAATTGTTTTACTTAAATTCTACACAATTCTGAGGCTACTTGTTGGTTTTCCAGTGAGATCATGTAAAATGGGACCTGTACAAATGAATAACTGGCTTTCTTCTTAACACAATGTAGAAACAGATGACAATTTCAGCCAGAATTTTAATTGTGTTTTACCCCTGGGCAGTTCTGCCGATATTGAAGATCATCGTGTCCAGTGTCTCACTAGCCCAAGCAACCAGACAGATGAGCTGCCTGTCACAGTCAAGTATGGTCATATTCCAAAGAGACTGAGCAATGCCTTCTACAGCTACACAGAAAATCCAAACATCACCAGTGTGTGTCCAGATAAGAGCTTCTTGGGGTAAGATGGGCTTTAATTGATAAGAATGGGTAGTTGGAAATATTATTATCTTGATGCGCTAGGTAGCCTGTACTGATTGGAATACAGAGGAATGAGAAGTGACCTTATTGAGACATAGAAGATCCTTAGACAACTTGACAGGACAGATGCAAAAAGGATGTTTTCCCTTTGTGGGAGAGCCGAGGACCAGACAGCAAAATTTTAGAATAAGTGGATGTCCATTTAAAACAGATGAGGAGGAATTTCTTCTCCGAGTGCTGTGAATCTGTGAAATTAGGCTGAGATGTTTAGTCATTAAGGGAATTGAGAGTTAAGGGGACAAGGTAGAAAATTAAGATAAAGGATTATCAGATCAGCCACAATCTCTTTGAATGGTAGAGCAGACTCGGTGGCCTATTTCTGCTCCTACATCTTACTGAGTAGGGTTGAAGATGAGGCAAAGCAGCTTTGTGAACCCAAGCAATTCTGTAAAATATCCTGATACACTATCCAGACAGGAGTCTTGACATGGCATCAAAATGGAGTGCATTTGGTTGTCTGCTTTCTGGTGCATGGAGGAGACCGTGTCTTGAATACAGCAGGAGAACTTTTCTCGTGAGAGCAGTTGTTCTTAGTGTCATTGGGCAGAGTGGAAAGTGGTTCATCCTGCATTCCTGTTGAACACCTAACCTGGGAGGGAGAGTTTGAGACTAATGTAGGTGATAAAGTGCTTGATTCTTCAACACTGTCATTCCTTGATTCAGTGGCCTAAAATAAATTGATCATTTGTTTGGAACACAGGGTGTACTACAGGCAAACAGATTAAACAACAACAAAAAAATTGTCTCTCGTTGAGGACAGAGTAAATCATTTTATGAATCAGTATCACAGTCTTCTTTCTCACTTGTGCTTGTGGAAATCTGCCTAATTGAGCAAGTTTTGGCCTGATATTGACTTAGTTGGTGCAGTGTCAAATTTTGCTTTATAATGCTGCACCGAAGTGCCTTAGGATGTTTAATTATGTTAAAGGTGTTGCATAAATTCAAGTTGGTGTTGCAGTTGTTATTACTGTAATTGGCTATGGGATCATCTGCTGATTTGGCTCCATCTTGGGACTCTGGTGAACGTTTATCTACGTTGTTTGATTAAATCAGTTTTTATTCATGAAGGAAAGCTTGTACAGACTATCCTCTAAGAATAATGAGAGTAAAGTAGTAAATTAGTAAGTCTCGAAAGGAACCCAAATTAATGGCAACAATTACTAGTAATAAACACTTGAGACTTTCTGTGCGATTGAAGCTGTCACTCTGTTCTGTGATCTGTTTAAGTGGCGGAAGAGTGATCAGTATAAATGGACAAAACTTAGATGCTGTGCAAACGCCTCAGATGATGGTCCAGTTAATCCCAAATGAACGATGGCGGAGGTCGTTCTCTGAGCTACAGAGCCGGGTGAGAGAGAGGAAACGCAGAATGATAAAGGACAACAATACTGAAAGGCATGGACACAAGGTGAGAAAAGCTGGTGCGTAAAATGATGCAATAAAGTGGGAGGGTTTGCAACCAAAATGTTGAATTCAGCTAGAAATTCTAGATTAAACCAGGCACTCAGCCTGCAATAAAGCAATCGTCCTTGATAGGGAAAAGTGGATTACGGCAATCTGGTTTACCCACAGGGAAACCTGGATAAGTGGTCAAGTCAGACACCAGAGCCAAGTCCTGACTGCTAGCCAAACCATACACTCCCTGTTGAACTACGTTGTGTTTAGCTAGACACAAAATGGCATGGTGTCTGTGGAAAGACCAACGCAGAGTAACAGGAGTAGAGACATTAATAACACTGATGTAAAATACTGCTGCATGGATTTAAAAGAAATCAAAACTAAGAAGGCATTGCTATTTATTTCTCATGAGTTGTAAAATATCTATGTTCAATTGCACAATTGAAATGATGCTTCTGGCTGACTGAAGAACAAACCTTTAACCCTGCAGGTGAGATTAAATCAGCCAGACAGTCTGACATGATCTGAAGTACAGCTCATGTTCTGTTGTGCTCATTAACTGGTGACTGAATTGAATATTTAATTCTGTTAACCATGTGATTTTTACCTGATGTAACTATTATTTAGCATTGGCTGTCAGCTGCAAGTCTGATTTGTGACCAGCAGTTTCAGTCATTGCATGTTGGCGTTGTCTATCAGAATATTACATAATCCCAATCCCTCCCCAAAACCACCTTTGATAATTTTGCTGGTCAGGATTTTTACATGCACAGGATGAGGATGATTTAACAATTGCTGAATAAATCATTATCTGCGTGATGTTAAACTATAGCTTTTTTTTTAAAGCAGTTTGAGTATGTCCCTTGGTCAAGCCATCTTTTCCCTATCTTGGGGAGTTAGTGATGTATTGATAATACCACTATACCAGTAATCCAGGGGCATGTGCAATGCTCTTGGGACATGGGGTTTGAACCCCATTTCAGTTGCTGGTGAAATTTAAACTCGGTTAATAAATCTGGAATTGAAAGCTAGTCTCCATAACAGTTAGCATGAAATTAACATAGTTGTTGCAATAATCCATCTGGTTCACTGTTATGAAGGAAATCTGCAGTTCTTACCCAGTCTGGCCCACATGTGACTCCAGATTCACAGCAGTGGGGTTGCCTCTTAACTGCTATTTGTAATGACTTAGCAAAGTGTTCAGTTCAGGGGCAACTAGGGATTGGTCAGTGACAGCCCCCACCCCCACACCTAATGAATGATTAAAGAGAAAAACCGGCTATATCCCTAATATGAAGTACTTTGAGACCTAGTAATGCATTAAAGACACTACACTGTATCAATGCAAGTAATTGTAATGTTGATTATCTGGCTTAATGAGATATAGTGACATTATTCTCTTTTTTTTTTCTCCCAATTACTCCAACCAAACCTTTTTCAGTTCATTGAATTCTGTCAGGTGAATTCCTCTTCCTTCATGACTTGTCAGACACCATCGATCAAAGCCCCTGTCAGCAATGCTGTCATCACTGTGCACTTCCTCATGGATAACCTGTGCTTTGATTTCAATGAGATCAGTCCAACAAAGTTCACGTACAAGCCTGACCCAATCCTGAAGCCACTAAATGCGGATGACCCATCAAAACCATACAGGCACAAACCAGGCAGTGTACTGTCTGTAGAGGTATGGTGATTTTCTCATTTTTCTTTAGTGTATTTCAGCACTTAATAATCACTTTACTGTTATACATTGTGCTCAGAGGCTGGAAATTCTGTGATGAGTGACTCGATTCCCTACTCCCCAAAAGCTATCCACTATTAACGAGGCACGAGTTGAAAATGCAATGGAATATTATGCTCCACATTTGCTTGGCTAAATGCAGCTCAAGCAACTTGGCCAAAGCTCCAAACCGTCCAGGACCACGCAGCCCACTGGATTGGCACACCATCCACCACCTTCAACATTTACTCCGTCCACTACCATGGCCACAATGCATACCATCAACAGGGTGTGCTGCAGCTACTTCCCAAGGCTCCTTCCTTCAGCAGCAGCTCCCAAACCTAGAAGAACAAGGGGAGCAGGTACTAGGAAATAACCCTGCGCCTGCAAGCTCCCGTCCAATTCACACACACCATCCTGACTTAGAACTTCGTTGTCACTGTCACTGGGTCAAAATCCGGCACTCCCTCACTAATGGCATTATGGGTGCACCTATGTCACACAGACTGCACACTATTCTAAAAGGCAATGCGTCACCACCTTCTTGAGGATAATTAGGGATGAGCAGTAAAGGCTAGACCAGGCAGCACCATTCACATCCTGTGAAAGAATTTTGGTACAATATAAATACAGACAGTCTGTTCACAAGTTGACTTGTTGGAACACAATGCAGGACGATATAAAACAGCCATGCGTAAGTACAGGAAATGATCGTATGTCAAATAATTAATCTTGTGTTCCAAATTGAACCGTGGTTGTAAGCATGAGCATTCATAAGTCAGACGTTTGTAAAGCAAGACCCCACTGTAGGTAATATTTCTTGAATTCTGTATTTGTGTTTTTGAGTTTCTGTTGGTAGAAGGTGCATTTGTAGTAATTTATCCACCTTCATTCCCATTCTCACCTCATTTTATATTTAAATCGCAGTTGTTGTCTAAGCATTTCTGTAGGCAATGATAACAGTATCCATCAGGAAACTATCAATGAGTCTCTTCTGTTTGTGTTGGTAAGGACAAGACATCTCCACTACTCCACTCTTTGCAAAGAGGAATTTCTATCCATGAGTTCCAATTGCCTTCTGTCTTTGAATACGGTAATTGGATCTGAGTATATCCCCATCACTAAGGTGTGATAATTTCACACTCTCTCAATCTATTGCTCCAGCCATTATCTGTAACACTGTTTTCCTCTTGGAAACACACAGTCCTTTGCAGGGTCAGCAATCCTCTCAGTCTCTGTGGAATACTTCTGGACTTGACATCCTGCCTCACAGATGTAACTACAATCCTTTTCCAATGGCCCATTACAGTCTAAATTTACTTCACCATCTGTTATTCTGGTGTGTAAAACACACCTCTTTCCCTGTAACGTTCAGTCTATGCTTAATAGTATGATCCCCGCTGATCTTGTTACTGGACAAGTCAGATCCTAGATTGAAATCAGGTTGAATAAGTCATGTTTGTTTTTATTTAACGTCGTGATTTTTCACTGAAATAAAAGGATGCAATGCTGCTGATTTTGGTTTTAATGATGTAAAGGTTAATTATAATAATTAAAAGAAGATAAAATAGAACAAACCAAGCTATTTATACATAAACATAATTTGAAAGATTTCAGAACACATGGACAAAATAAAATCCCTTCTTTGCTCAACACCATCACTTTGCAGTTCTCTAATACCAGAGAGTTTCCTTATCTATCACATTTATAGGTTTTACATAACTGTTTCTTTCAATTTCTAGTCTTGAGGGTTTGATACTCTTCTCTTTTTAAGTTCAGTTGCTTGAATAATCACTTTCTTGGCTTCAAATAATCCCCTCAGCATTCTAACCATATACTTCTGGTCTGGAATTTTCAAACCAAAACCTTTATACTGACGGAATACATTTTCCTAACAGTTCAGAATTAACTTCTTTAACCAAGGGAAACTTTTCGTACATCTAACCTTAGATAGCTCTTCTGCAAAGTGATAAAAAAGTGCTCTAATCTACATTTTTCTCTAAGCAAAAAAAAATTCCTTGATTCTTATAAAGCAAGAGCAAACAAATGATCTTCAATGTTTCTGTTCTTCGATCATAAAATTCTCTCAATACAAACAAGCTCACATAATCACTCCGGGGGAGCTGTAATCACCTGCTCTTTGATGCATACTGGTTTAAAAATCATGCCTCCAGAAATACTGAAAGTTAATTATTAAGCCCTTTATACACGCAGATCAAAACTCTTGTACCACTAGTTCAAATTCCAAACCCTAAAATAGATTATATTAGCGTATATAAATCTCACACCTTACATCACATTAATCTACTTTTCACATTCAGGGAGAAAACCTGGACCTAGCAATTACGAAGGAAGAAGTGGTTGCGATGGTGGGTGAGGGAATCTGTGTTGTGAGAACATTGACCGCAAATCACCTGTACTGTGAACCACCCCTGGGACAGCCTGCAGCACGAAGGAGGAGAAAGCGTGAAAGCCTGGACACACTGCCGGAATTTATTGTATGTTCCAAGTTCTATCGTTCTTGGATACGGTCTAGGAGACTGCTGATATGGAATGTTACACTGGGCAGTCCTTAAGCGAAAATGAACTATCACAGTTGACATATAATCTCTCTTTGGGAACGTTTAGATTCTCTTTCTGTTTCAAATTCCTTCACTCTTTTGTTCTTATCTCTCAGGTGCAGATGGGAAAACTGCATTTCAAGCTGGGAAAGATTCGATATGATGCCGAGAGCCAGTCTAATTTCCCGCTCGAGGCCCAGATTGGACTTGGGGTGGGAGCCTCCATTGTCGCTCTGATTGTCCTGATCATTGTGCTTATCTACAGGTGGGCAACAATTAGCAATATCCTCGCTGAGGTTCAACCAACCAAAGTATTTAAACCTCCAAATCACCTTGGAGATACTAATGATGACTCAAAAACTGTAAAGGGTGCCCTTATTCTTGGTTTGAGTTACTGGAATCTGGCACTACAAGTTGGCTGTTTTCTTGTAAGGGTGGTGGGAGGGTTGCTTTTCAGACTGGAGGCCTGTGGCCAGCAATTTGTCGCAAGGATCGGTGCTGGGTCCACTGCTTTTTGTCATTTAAATAAATGATTTGGATGTGAGCATAGGAGGTATGGTTAGTAAGTTTGCAGATGACACCAAAATAGGTGGTGCAGTTGACAGTGAAGAAAGTTATCTCAGAGTACAACTGGACCTTGATCAGATGAGCCGATGGGCTGAGGAGTGGCAGGTGCATTTTACTTTAGAAAACTGAGGTGTTTTGGAAAGGCAAATCAGAGCAGGACTTATACACTTGACGATAAGGTCCTCGGGAATGTTGCTGAATAAGGAGATCTTGGGAAGTAGGTTCATAGCTCCTTGAAAGTGCAGTTGCAAGTAGACCAGGTAATGAAGAAGGTACTTGGCATGCTTGTCTTTATTGGTCAGTGCACTGGGTATATGTTAGGATGTTCTGTAATGCCTGTACAGGACATTGGTTTGGCCACTCTTGGAATACTGCATTCAGTTCTGGTCTCCTCCCTGCTACAAGAAAGATGTTGTGAAACCTGAAAGGATTCAGAAAAAATTTACGAGGATGTTGCTGGGAATGGAAAGTTTGAGCTATAGGGAGAGACTGAACAGGCTGGGGCTATTTTCCCTGGAGCATCGGAAGCTGAGTGGTGACCTTAGAGATTTATAAAATTATGAGGGACGTGGTTAGGGTAAGTAGCCAAGGTCTTTTCCCCAGGGTAGGGGAGTCCGAAACTAGAGGGCATGGGTTTTGGGAGAGACGGGAGAGATTTAAAAAGGACCTGAGGGGCAGTGTTTTCACGGAGAGGTTGGTGTGTGTATGGAATGAGCTGCCAGAGGAAGTGGTGGAGGCTGGTACAATTACAACATTTAAAAAGCATCTGGATGGGGTCATGAATTGGAAGGGTTTAGAGGGATATGGGCCAAATACTGGCAAAGGGGACTAGATTAATTCAAGATATTTAGTCGGCGTGGACGAGTTGGACCCAAGGGTCTGTTTCCATGCTGTACAACTCTGACTCTAAGTGCTCAATGTAAAATGAGTCACACAGCGTAGAAACAGGCTGTTCAGCCCCCCATGTCTATGCCAGCCAACATAAACTAAATCACAGTAACCCTGTTTACCTTGGTCCATAGCCTGTTTGCCCTGGCATTTGAAGTGCTCATTCAGATGCTGTTTAAATGTTGCGAGAGTACCTGTCTCCATCACCCTCTCAGACAGAACATTCTATATTTCTAAGATCCTATCCTAACCTCAAACATATGCCCTTTTGTCTTAGTCACATCTGCCATGGGGAAAAGATTCCTGTGATCTACTGTATCTATACCTGTCATAATTATGTATTACTTAATCAGACTCCTCCTCAGCCACCCTTGCTCCAGGTAAAACAAGCCCAGCCTAACCAGCCTGTCTTCATAACTGAGCCTTTCCATCCCAGGCAACATCCTGTGGTGAATCTCCTCTGCACCCTCTCCAGTGCAATCAGGTCCTTCTGATAGAGCGATGACCAGAACTGGGAATTTCCTAAAATTTAATTAATTTCTCTTCCACAAGCTATTCGTTATTGCCCACTGATCTGTGAGTGTGTGTGTGGAGAGAGCTGGAAAAAATCCCCTCAACCTGCATCTGGAGTAACATGGAAGCTGACTGCTGCCTACATTTTAACTGTGAAGTACCATGTTTATGTTTGCACCTGCTTTGGGATATTTTTTCGCCAAGAGAGCTCTTTCCAGTGCAAAGGGAGATGGTTATATCACATGACGGATCTGGTGTTAATTTCTCCGGAGCATCACCATGTCAGGCCCACTTTCCTCAGGCGCACCTCTGGGACAGTCTCAGTTGTAGTTTCCTCTGCTGCCATTCTATCTAGTTGGCTCCCCTCCCATTTCTGACTTCCTAAGTTGGTAATGTTAGCCTCCATAAGGGCAGTGGATCCAAACCTGACTTTATTTACAATCCAGCTATCTACCTATTTCTGTGAGTAGCATGATCTTGCTTTCCATTTAACAGGCGGAAAAGTAAGCAGGCCTTGAGAGACTACAAGAAAGTACAGATCCAGTTGGAGAACCTGGAGACCAGTGTCCGTGATCGATGCAAGAAGGAGTTTACAGGTAATCTGTGTCTATGTCCAGGCCCCTGTCTGTGAGTGTGATCCTGAATGCACAGAGATTAAATCGCTTTGTGCTTGTGCTGTATTTTCTCTGGCATTAAACAGGTTTTACATATTTCAATAAATGTCTCTTCACTCTGCTTTCAACTTGCTAACAAAATGTTCCCCAAATTTGTCATTAAAACATTTAACAGATCTCATGACTGAAATGATGGACCTGTCCAGTGATCTGGTTGGAACTGGAATTCCTTTTCTGGATTACAAGACCTATGCAGAGCGCATCTTTTTTCCAGGGCATAGGGAGTCCCCTCTGCAACGGGATCTGGATGTACCTGAATCTCGACGCCAGACAGTGGAACAGGGGCTTGTCCAGCTTTCTAATTTATTGAACAGCAAGCTTTTCCTCACCAAGGTATACAAAAGCATTTTGCTTCTGTTGTGTTGGTTGCGATGGTATCTACGCAGTGTCATAATAACAAGGAGACAGCAACGCACTGATCTCAATAGGCAAAACCAGTCACAAGTTAGTCAGTTTTTGGTCTGACCTAAGGAGGCAACAAGTGACATTTGTAACAAATTTTAATGTATTCAACTATCTCACCCTTTGCGGATCTTGCACAGAGAGGAGGGGAGAAGGGAGCTTTTCGTTATTGTTATTGTCAGGGATTTGTTTTGACCACTTTTCCAGAAAGGATTCCAAAAGCTGACAAAACCTCCCACTTGTCAAATTGGAATGTTTATGCAATTTTTTTTTCTGTCTGTGAAGATTTGGGGAGACAATTGTGAGAGGTTTGTTGAAATGGATTACTATGTAGGTGTTTGTGCTTTTAAAGAGAAAATATCAAAGGATTTCATCAGAAATGCTACAGGTGCCTGGCACCACCTTAATTTGTGAAAACAACCTGAATATATCCTGAACAACTGGGGTGGCACAGTGGTTAGCACTGCTTCCTCACAGCACCAGGGACGTGGGTTCGATTTCAGCCTCGGGCAACTGCCTGTGTGGAGTTTGCACGTTCTCCCCGTGTCTGCGTGGATTTCCTCTAGGTGCTCCCGCAGACCAAAGATATGCAGATTAGGTGGATTGGCCGTGCTAAACTGTCCATAGTGTCCAGGGATGTGCAGGTTAGATGGAATACCCATAGGAAATGCCGGGTTACAGGGATAAGGTAGGGGTTGGGTCTGCGTGGAGGGCTTGTCAGCGTGGACTTGCTGGGTCGAATAACCTGCTTCCACACTAGGGATTTTATGATTCAATGATATATGTTGGATTGCAACAATCATAATTGTAATTCTACTTGTTCACCTTACTGTGCACGAATTTATGTTGGGGGCCTGTTGTCACTGAGTCTTTGCTTGGCCTAACTTCCAAGAGATTGAAGAGGCAACCTTGTGAAGGCTAGGAATATTTAGTACATATCAGTATAGTTAGTGTTTTAGTCATGCACTTACTGAAGCATGAGTCTGTCAGTCTTCCACAACTCGTCTTACTGGGGAAAAACAGCCTCTTTTAAAATATTTTCTAATCATCCTGTTCAGAGATGTCACTACATACCTCATGAGCAGGTGGGACCTGAACCTGGGTCTCCTGGCTTAGAGGTAGGGAAACCACCACAATGCCACAAAAACTGCTCCTTTTTATTTCCAAGCACAATGGATACTTTCTTTTCTGTCATCCATGGTACTTTGCACCTTTATCCACCACTGTTCTATCATCCATTAAGGAGAGTTTAGTGACACCAGAGAAGAAGGAAAGGTAGGGAGGGAAGTAGTGACGAAATCAAAATGGTGTTGGAGGGGATGAAAAACCAACCTTCCTTGTTTGAGATTTGGGTTGTAGACTTCCACTGGGTTGTTCCACATTAATACGCCATTGCCTTCCTCATTAATGGCTGACCAGGAGAGTCTCCCACTCTTACTGTCTGCCATCAGGCATATTAGAAGGATTTACAGACCAACTGTGAACCTGTTGGCCATGGAGGCGTATTTGTAAGGAAGCACAAACAAGTCCTGGTGTGGGGCTTGAACTCGGTGTTTCAGTTCCAGAGTCAGGAACACTACAACTGCGTCATGGCCTCCTGGAAAACCAACCTTTTTGTTTGTTTTCTCATTAACCTTTTCAGAGATATTATTGTATTTCTCTGGAGCAGGTGAGACTTGAACCTGGGTCTCGTGATACAGAAGTAGAGACATGACCATTGCATCAAAAGAACTCTCAGAAACCAGCTCATTATTTTTACCCCTGTCACCAAATCCTCTATTGGTTTGTTATCTGTCCATTAACCACCACTAGTAAATTAACCGTGTTTCCAATTGAATAATTGATGTGCAAAGCCTGTGAAAGACAATGCAAACCATCAAAAGTCAAGGGGACTAAATCAAAATAGAGTTAGAAAGGGAGAAAACCCCAACACTTAGGTATATGTTCCAATGAGCATTACCTGTTCTTGCTTGCCTCTGATGCATATCCTGGTTAATTCTTAAAGGGACCATCATTTGCAACATTGTCAACCTTACTGGATTGTTACTGTGCAGGCAAATACAGACTGTTGTGAGTCAATTGCCATCAAAGGAACTGGCTCCAGCTACTTGTAGGAGAGCTGATACCACAGAATATAAGGTATTGGCAGCCAACCTAATTTCTAATAGTTGTGTTTGAATAAGAACTGTTATCTTTTGTTAACTTAAAACAGAACTTGAGTGAAGAGCGTGCTTTTTTTTGAAAGAAAAGTGGATCATAGAATCTCTACAGTGTAGAAGCAGGCCATTCGGCCCCTCAAGTCCACACCAACCTTCCGAAGAGCATCCCATCCAGACCCATGCCCTACCCTGTCTCTGCATTTTCCCACCCTAGACACTATGGGCAATTGCCAATCTGCCTGAACTGCACATCTTTGGACAGTGGGGATAAATGAGAGCACCCAGAGGAAAACCACGCAGACACAGGGAGAATTGTGCAAACTCCACACAGACAGTCGCCCAAGGGTGGAATTGAACCTGGGTCCCTGGCGCTGTGAGGCAGCAGTGCTAACCACTGAGCCACCGTGCTGCCCAATGCACAGGTGATAAAACATTTATCACAAATGTCCACAGCCTTTTTAAAAAATACTTATTGCCAACTTTCCATTTCCCAAAATTATCAAGTAGCCATCTTCATGTTGGAAGGGTGACCATCATATTTTGGACAGGCACCAGATGTATCTCCTTTCAGGAGAGCTTCCATTTGTTTGTATGTAGCCTGGATTTTGAGCTGGGCTGAGCTGGTTTTCCAGTTAAGAGAGCACAGGAAGCAAATGAAAGGTGTCAAAACATTGGGTAAAACAATGCCAGCCTAACCAGGCTCTCCTCAGAACGGAGATTTTTCCATCCAGGCAACATCCTGTAGTAAATCATTTTGGTGTTTTTTTTTTAAACTTGTTCAAGGTTCTTTCATATCTCTGTATTAGTTTATTCACACGCTGGAGAGCCAACGGACATTTTCCCCACGGGATCGTGCTTATGTGGCATCGCTATTGACTGTCTCGTTGCATGGGAAGTTAGAGTATTATACAGACATCTTGAAAACACTGCTGAATGATCTGGTGGAGCAGAATGTTGCCAAGAACCCAAAACTGATGCTGCGCAGGTAGGGGACGATTGAGCCTGGGTTCTGGTGCCTAACTGAGCATCACATAAAGCATTAAATGTCAGTATGCCTTCTCCAGTGGCTTTAATTGTGCATCTTTTATAAATCCCAATGGTAGTAGTGACCCACTGTAGCAAACTCATTATGTCCCACTTGGATTGGTGTAGTGGGCCCACCTCAGGAAAATAGGGTTCTTGGCTTCAGTAGCTCAAGTAAGGGAATTGTAAGTGGGCCTGGCTTCTGGAATGTCCCATTTGAGGGAAGGATTACACCGAACTAGTGGCTTCTTTCCATTGAGTATTTTTATCAAGTTGAAAAAGAAGAGTCTCAGTTTTCAGGAGAAGAGCAAAGAAAGCAGGTGGAAAATGGAATTGGAGTAAATTTTTCAGCAAACGGCAGTCCTTTTTTTTAAGGAAGCCTTCTATAACCTGTAACCCGTGAAATGTATGGAATAGATAAATAATGTTGGAATGTGGGATTATGAAATATGTTCAATAATTGATTTGATCCAATGTACACAGAAAAGATTGGATTGTATGTAAAATTCTTTAGGGATTACCTCCAGGAATTAATCCACTGGTGGTAATGGCCGTAAACATGCTATGATGTATGGATTTCGGTGTTGCTACTTTGTTGCAAACATGAGTGGAATTAGGCAAGATGACAAAGGTGAGAATAAGGGCTGAGTGCAGAGCTAAAATGCTCATCTCAGGGTCCTGATGGGTGCCCAGGGTCCTTATGCTCTGATTTAGCTTTGGAGGGCAGGAGATGAACGCAGTTAAAGGTTAGGGAACAGAGTTCGTGGCAGGGGCCAAAGTCCATTGCTTCTGTCATCTCAATATTTAGTTTGAAGAAATTGCTCTTATCTGATACTTGATGTCAGACATGTGACAATCTGAGGCAGAACTGGGTTGAGAGAAGTGACGGTGAGAAAGAGCTGGTGTTGTCACCACACCTACAAATATAATTGAGACTATAAATCATGACTCCGTAACACTTGATATGCATTAGCTCTTTGTAATGAACCAATATAATTTTTCTCTTTCAACTTATGCCTGCTGCAGTTTTCCCCACATTCTTCTGATGCAGGGAGAATGGGCAGTCAAACGGGTGTGAAGGCTTATGACATAAGGGAAGTCATACACAGTGACTAACTTAACAAATTAGCCATTGTCCTCAAAAGATCATAGGCATCTTTCTCCATCAGAGAATCACGATTCAATGTGTATAGTTTGATGGCATTCTGTAAACACGTGGCTCAAGGTGAGGAGGAAGCCCTCCATGATGGTGATATGACATTACACTACGCCATGGTGCCATTTCACATTATGCTATGGCTGCCTAACTACCTGAGCTCTGCTTTCTGAATTTTCCCTTCTGGGAAAGTGTATGAATTCCGTGTTCTAGATATAAATTCATGGCTGTCCAACTAGGCACTGTCTTAATGAGCTAAAGCCATGTTTCTCCTTTGAATGCGTGCCTAGTGAAATAACTGCACAGAGGCTGATATATTGTCACCAAGTCACCCTTTGTTTACGTGCACACAGTACACTGGCTGTAGTCAGCCAGCTTGGAATCAGTCCCTGGGTGAGGAGATTCTGAATCCCCTGTTCATATCGGTCAGCCAGGACTCCCTGATTGGCTCTGGTTAACACCCCCCCCACCCCTCCAATCAAGGATCTGACAGTCAGTAAGATCCACCTGGTCCCAATCACTATACCTAGCAACCTGCTATACAACAGTCATCTGCTCCAGTATTCACTACTAAACACAAAACATTTGTTTTGATTTTTAAAAAAAAAAATCAGGATTGAAACTAAATCTGAAGTAATTGTACTCTGTTCCAGAACAGAAACAGTGGTGGAGAAGTTGCTGACAAATTGGATGTCCATCTGTCTATACACATTCCTCAGGGTAGGTATTCTATTCAGTGAAGAGGGTGATTCATATAACTCCATTAATATGCAGTATACCATTTATTACAGAATCACTGAATTATATTGGAATGCTATGTGGATACCCTCTTATTTCTCTTCTTCCCTATAGTGTTGCAGATTGGGGAAAAAAATCTGCTCATGATGTATTATTCCAATAACTACAGCCATACTTTTTTTTTTGTTTCTTCGGCTGGAGAATTGGATTGCAAACCTCTGTCCCATAGCACAATGTTGTATTATCGTGTATGCACTCTGCAAGTTCCAGTATATTATTTAAAGCTACAAACGGAAGTATTTTTAATGTTAAATTTGCCAATAAACCAACTTTTAAAGTATTATTTTCATACAAAGTCTCATTAGTTAGTTGATGTGTTCAGGGCGTCGGGTTCCAAACTATTGCAGCAAGCTTTTTGAAATAGTGGCCAAATGGGAATCTGAGCGAACAGAACTCACTGCCACAATGCTATAGGGAGAGGGGCTCAGCACTGCAGGATCCACACCAAATCACTAATAGCAAATGGCAACTGGGCAGGAGAATGAGGACTGTCCTGTCTAATATGTCTGCATCTTTGCTAGTCGGGTATTCCAGTTGTGTGTTGATCTGTGACTGGGGCATTTGTTTAGAGCGAGCTTTTTAATTTCCCCAAGTCAACATTCAAGTAAAGATTTGCTTGCTACCCTAGTTCGATGAGCTCTGCTCGTGGTTCCAAACATATAATAACTGTTCTTTTAAGTTTCAGTCAGAGGAGTGCTACCAGAAATAACTTTGCTACTGGAGTGAAACTGCAGAACTTATAGCTGTTTTGTCCTAATTGTTTTCCAAAAGTAGTCATTATTAGCCCTGAAATTCTACGGTCAACGACCCATGACATTGTCCAAAGTTTTTAAGCAAAAATTCTTGAATATTAATACTTTGTCCACCTGATAATTGTCAATCAACATGTCTCTAGGATTCGGCAGGGGAATCACTCTACATGCTATTCCGAGCAATCAAACACCAAGTGGATAAAGGACCTGTTGATGCTGTATCAGGAAAGGCCAAGTATACTCTCAATGACAACCGACTACTCCGAGAGGATGTGGAATACCGCACACTGGTAAATCTCCCAAAGCACAATAGTCTTAGCTTCAAGTAAATTAAACCATCAGCAGTTCTAGTCACAGCCCTGCCTTCAATTCCCCACTGAGATACTAGAGTTGGATCATCGTTGTGTCCTGGGAATTCTGACAATTGTCAGTTTCTGCCAAGGGAAAGAAACAAAATATTGGGCAGGAGATTGTATCTCAATTGTATCCCCTGCTGGATAAGCAAAAATGCCAAATCAGGCTGTTTCAATTTGTTCCTTTTTAGAGGTTTGATGTAAATGCAGTGCTGAATGTGCACGTTCACAACTGGGGATGATGTGTTATTAATGTGTGCAAAGTTTACTCATTTCATTTGTTTGTCCCTCAAGCAGTGCATCAGCTGTGTGGGGTGGAAAGGAGATTCAAGACATTTAAGTGGCCTTCACTGAAATTTCGCAGAATGATACATTATCTTATTCCTTATTCTGTACTTAATCTGATGACATTAATGACAGGCAGCAGCTAAATTTGTAGCATGATGTGAGTGGTTATGTCAAGGCACCTGATCGAGGTGTTGGGATCTGAAATGTAACATCCTGTTTTCTCAATTCTCTGCACAGACCCTCAACGTCCTGGTACAAGGTGAAGACGTACAACCCTCACCTGTGAAAGTGTTGGATTGCGACACCATCACCCAAGTCAAGGAAAAAATTATTGATCAGATCTACAAAGGAGTGACTTACTCACTTCGACCACATGTGGAAACACTTGACCTTGGTAAGTAATGCGGAACCTCTGATGAGGTGCATCTATATGTAAGTTTTACAGCAGTGATGAGAGGGCTCTTGTGGTGTCCCTACCTTTGAGCCAAGAAGCCTGGGTTCAGGTCCCACCTGTTCCAGAGTTGAGTAACGATAACCTAAACAGGTTGATTTGAACATATATCTACCAATCGCGGTAATGAGAAGGTCATCTTAGAAGGGCTCTTGTGGTGGTGCTCCTTCTGGGACAGAAGATCTTGGGTTCAAGTCTCACCTGCCTCAGATATGTGTTGTGATATAGCCAAACAGGTTGATCTAAAATAAAAAGTATGATGTGATGCCTGGGTGCCCAGCACTTGTGGTTGGGATCACGTGTAGCCGTGAATCTTCATCTTGGGCTGTTCCATAGTCTACGGTGGAGGATTGAGCCCCATGAATAAATACATGTAATAAGCAGAAGAGGCTCCTGTTCCAGGTGCAGTTTAGTACATTTTAGTAACTATATACAGTTTGCATAACTCTAGGGCATATTAGCTGTTACTAACAAGATGCAGTACGTACAGGACATTGGATCGGCCACTTTTGGAGTATTGCGTGCAACTCTGGTCTCCCTCCTATAGGAAGGATGTTGTGACCCTAGAAAGGGTTCAGAAAAGATTTACAAGGATATTGCCTGGGTTGGAGGGTTTGAGCTATAGGGAGAGACTGAATAGTCTGGGGCTATTTTCTCTGGAGTATTGAAGGCTGAGGGGTGACCTTTTAGAGGTTTGTAAAATCATGGTGGGCATGGAGAGGGTAAATAGCCAAGGTCTTTTCCCTGGAGTGGGGGAATCCAAAAGTAGAGGGCATAGGTTTAAGGTGAGAGAGAAAAGATATAAAAGGGACCTAAGGAGCAACTTTTTCACACAGGGTGGTGTGTGTATGTAATGAGCTGCCAGAGGACGTGGTAGAGGCTGGTATGATTACAGCATTTAAAAAGCATCTGGATGGGTATATGAATAGGAAAGGTTTAGAGGGATATGAGCCAAATGCTGGCAAATGAGACTAGATTTATCTAGGATAACTGGTCAGCATGGACGAGTTGGACTGAAGGGTCTGTTTCTGAGCTGTGTACCTCTATGACTCTGAGGTAAGATGTGTAAGACCCCATCAGGCGACAATGTCAGATTCCAACAAACTCAAACTGTGTGATGCCACACCACTAGCTCTAAGATATGTCAGGGGTGGAATTGCAGGGATTGGCAATACATTATATTGATAATACATTGCTCATTTGGCTGGGCTTCAGCTTATGAAGGTGCAACAGTTTTTGCTTTGGACTGGGACCCAGTTTGTAAAGACACCAAGCTCTTAGGGATGAAGCTTCATTCTTGAATTACAAATGAATATATGAAATGGGATCAAGAATAGGCAATGTTCCATCCTAGCCCTGCATCCATGCAGCTGCTCAGATGGTCCAGAATCAGTGTGTGAACGCTATTCTTGGCATTGACCACTTCTTCTGGAAATTACTGCTGCAGATGATGAAAACAAAGTTTAGTGGGATGCTGGAAGTAGGCCATTCAGCCCCTCAAACTTGCTTACCATTCAATAAGATCAGAGCTGATCTGATTATTCCCTCAGCTCCATATTGCCAACTACTCCTGCCACCTACAATGAGCAATTGATGCTCCATCAGTTGTTAGTTTTAAATTTGAGATAGATAAATCTTTGTTCAGCCAAGGTATTAAAGGATATAGAACATAGAACAGTACAGCACAGTACGGGCCCTTCGACCTACAATGTTGTGCCGAACTTTTACCCTAAACCTAAGGTCTATCTAACCTCCACCCCTGCCTTTATACTATCATCAGCTATGAGCTAAACACAGGAGCTAGGCTGCAGATCAGCCATGATCTCATTGAATGGCGGGTCAGGCTCGAGGGGCTGAATGGCCTCTTCCTGTGTACTCCCAACAGCCTCTGACTCCCTTGTCAGTCATAAAACTAACTGTCTTAAAAATATTCAATGACTGCCTCTACTGCTCTGTGGGAAAGGGAGTTATATATTCTTGACCCTCTGAAAGAAAACTTTATCCTCATCTCTCTCTTTAAATGGGGATCTCTCATTTTTAAACTGTCAGCTGGTTTTAGTCTGTCCCAAAAGGGGATCTGGTTTTAGCATCTACCCGGTCAAGTCTCCTCAGAATGTTATATATTCTCAAAAGTGAATACATCTTATTCTTCTAAAGTCCAATACAAACCAACTCAGCTATCCCACCTTTCCTCATGAGATAAACCCCTTCATTCCAGGTACCACAAGTCAACCTTCTCTGAGCTGATTCGCGTGCAGTTATATCCCTACTTAAATAAGGAGACCAAAACTGTGCACAGTGCTCCAGATGTGGTCTCATCAATGCCCTGTAGAATTGTAGCAAAACGCCGCTATCTTTATATTCCATTTCCCTTTGCAAGAAATGATAACATTCAATTTGATTTCCTAATCACTTGCTGTAACTGCATAATAACTATGTGATTCATGTAGCAGGGATACCCAGATCGCACTATAACTCTGAGTTCTGCAATTTCTCTCCATTTTAAGTAACATGCTGCTTTTCTAAACTTCTCACCAAAGTAGACAAGTTCACATTTTCCAACATCTGCCAAATTTTAGACTCATTTAACTGATCTATATCCTTTTGCAGACTCCTTATGAACTCTTCATAATTTACTTTCCTACTGCTCTGTGTCATCAGCAATTTTAGAAACTGGTCCCTTTATCCAAGTCATTGGTATGAATTATAAGCATTTGAGGTCCCAACATTGATCCCTGTGGCATTCCACTTATTTCATCTCGCCAACCCGAAAATACCTGATTTATACCAACTCTCTGCAACCTGTTCAATAATCAATCCACTGTCCATCCCACCTCTACAGTATGATCTCTTATTTTGCATAGTAACCTTTTGAACTGTGGCAAACTATCCCTACCTTTGTATTCCAGCAAACACCCCAGATATTTAGCAACATACAGATTTGGATAAAGAGGAAAAGGGGAGATTTAAGACAGATACCAAGGATCAAAACTGCAGAAGCCCTAAAGCAGTATTGGATGTGAAAGGGGAAACTTAGAAGGAAATTAGGAGAACAAAAAGGGTGCATGAAAATGGCAGGTAAAAGAAAGCAATGTCTTAAGTTATTTTACAAGTACGTTGAAGGTAAAAGGTTAACTCTGGAAACAGTAAGGCCCATTAGGAACACAGTAGTAATTTGTATGTGAAGCTGGAGGATGTAGTTATGGGTCTAAATTAATACTTTGAGTGTTCATTAGTGAGCGGTTTGATGTGGGTGTTGAAATCAGGGAGAAGGACTGTGTGATATACTAAAAGAAATTAGCATAAACAGAGAGGAGGTTCTGAGGGATCTAGTAGGCTTGAAAGTAGATAAATGTTCAGATGAAATGTATCCCAAGCTCTTAAGTGAGGCAAGGGAGGAAATGGCAATGGCATTGGCAATAACTTCTAATTCCTCCTGGTCCAGAGGAGAGATGCCAGAGGACTGGATGACAGCCAATGTGGAACCATTATACAACAAGGAAGGAGGGGTAAACCAGGAAACTATAGGCCCTTCAATCTAACCTCAGTGGTGGAGAAACTATTCTGAGGGAGTAGATTTAATCTGCACTCGGTGAGGGAAGGATTAATCAAGACTAGTCAGCATGGTTTTGTTGTGGGGAGGTCCTGTCTAACCAGCATGATTGAATTTTTCAAGGAGATGGCCAGGTATGTAGATGAGGGCAATGCATTTGATATAGTCGTCTTAGACATCAGTAAGGCTTCTGACAAAGTCCCACATGGGAAATGAATAGTGAAGGTATGAGCCCATGGGATCCAAGGAAATTTGGTTAATTGGATCCAGAATTGGCTGAGTGACAGGAAGCAGAGGAGGATGGTCAAGAAGTGCTTTTGTGACTGGAAGCCTGTGTCCAGTTGGGTTCCAGAGGGATCGGTGTTGGGGGCTGTCACTGTACATGGTGTATACTAATGATTTAGACTGAAATGTAGAAGGGGTGATCAGAAACTGCATGGATGCTGTGAAATTGGTGGGGTGATAAATAATGAGGAGAATAACCTTAGATTACAGAAGGATCTAGATGGGCTGGTCAGATGGGATGTACAGTGAAAAATAGAATTCAGTCTGGACAAGTGTGAGGTGATGCACTTGGGCAGCACAAACAAGGCAAAGGAAAACAATGAATAGTTGGTCCAACAGAAGCACTGAGCATTGTGTTCGCTGGCCCTTTAGGTAGCAGGACAGGTGGATAAGATGGTTTAGAAGGCATATGGAATACATGCCTTTATTAGCCGAGGCAGAGCATTTGATCAGGAGGTTATACTGGAACTGTATAAAATGGTGGTTAGGCCACAGCTAGAGTATTAGGTGCAGTTCTAGAATCCATACTATTAGGAGGGATGCGATAGCACTCGAGAGGGAACAGAGGAGGTTTACCAGGAATTTGTCTGGGCTGGAGAGAGTTTTAATTATGAAGAGAGATTGGATAGATAGGGTTTGTTTTGTTTGGGGCAGAGGAGACTGAGTGGGGACATGATTGAGATGTATAAAATTATGAGGGAGGTAGACAGCAAGGAATTTCTTCGCATGGTGGTGGGATTAATAACGGGGGCCATGGACTTAAGGAAAGGGGCTAGAGGTTTAGAGGGGTTGTGAGGAATTTGTTTTTCACCTAGAGGTTGGTGGGAATCTGGAACCCATTGCCTGTAAAGGTGGCAGAGGCAGAAACCCGCAGAACATTGAAGACGTATTTAGATGGGCACATGCAATGCCAAGGCATACAAGGCTATGGACAAGTGCGAATGGGCCAAAGGGCTATTCTTGTGCTGCTGACCTCTGACTCTGACCCCTGTGACTCTCTGGTGTCTTCTGGAAATCTAAAGACACTGTAACAACTTGTTCCCTCTTATCCACATTGCATGCAGTTTTCTCAAAAATCTCCGATCTGAATTGACGGCGAAGTTAACAGCTTGTTGGAATTCCGATATTGGAATTTGGAAGCTCCAGCAGTTTTGAGGATTGGGAAGCACATGCTTTCTACTCAGAGCAGAGTCTGATGTAACTCTTTCGAGAATGGATTAAGCTGCCTTGTGCATGGTTGTATTGGGAGTCGGAAGGTTCAGCTCTCTTTGCTAATGATTAGGATTGGAAAATCGTATCTTCTGCCTCGGAAACAATATTACACGTGTTGGGAATGTGAAAGTCATGCTAGACTTGTTGACTTTTTTTTTGAAGCTTTCATTATTTTAATTGATTATGTTATACTAAATTAGAATGGAGATCAGGGTTGGCTGGACATCTTATCCTTTCTGATGAAGACCTGACCTCCGTTCTCCAGGGAAACTGGAAACGTCTAAACACCTTGCAGCATTATAAGGTAAGCTTAGAGTTTCTTTGAAAAAGTATTGCAATAACTTGCTGTTCTTTAAACATGCTAATTGATCTCCACCAGGCCTGGATGCAGGAATCCAGACTAAGCACAGATCAAGCAGCATTAGAAATCTCAAAGTTAGCGTGCAGATACACTAGCCTAATGTTTATTATTGGAAAACTATTGGAATCAATTTTTAAGGAAGTAATGGCAGAACATTTGGAAAATCATAAATCTAATTTAGCAGAATCAGCATGGCTTCATGAAAGAGAAATTGTATCTGATTTAATTTAGTACAGTTTTTCAAGGAAATCTTAACCAGAGTGGATAGAGGGGAACCAATAGATGTGTTGTGTTGTATTTGGACTTCCAGAAGGCATTTGACAAGATGCCTCACAAAAGGTTAAGTCATAAGGTAAGACCCAATGATGTTAGAGGTAGGATATTGGCATGGATAGAGAATTGGTTAATGGGCAGGAAACAGTGAGTGGGGATAAGGGCTTCTTTTTCAGATTGGCAACCTATGACTAGTAGATTTCCACAGCGACCACAACTGTTTACAACATATATGTTAATGACTCGGAAGAAGGAAACCGATGTACTGTAGCCAAATGTGCAGATGGCATAAGAATAAGTGGAAACACAGGTTGTGAGAAAGATGTAAATGGTTGACAGAGAGGTATTGATAGATTACGTAAGTGGGCAATAGTTGGAAAATGGAGTATAATGTGGGAAAATGTGAAGTTCGTTTTTGGAAGGGAGAACAAAAGAACAGATTTATTTAAATGAGAAAAACTACAACATAAAGGGACTTAGGGTATTGTACATGAAAGACAGAAAGCTAGCACACAGGTGCAGCAGGTAATAAGGAAGGCTAATGGAATGTTGGCCCTTATTTCAAGGGGGTTGGAGTAGAAGACAGGGGTAGTCTTACTGCTGGTGAGACCACATTTGGAGTACTATGAGCAATTTTTGTTCCCTTGTTTAACAAAATGTTATTTCAGTGGAGGCAATTCTGACAAAGTTCATGAGGATGATCCCTGGTTTGGAGAGATTTTTTATGAGCAAAGGTTGGGACTCCACTCATTGGAATTTAGAAGAATGAGAAGTGATCTCATTGAAACGTATTGAGTTGGTAGGGTAAATGCTGAGAGGATGTTTCCCCTCATGGAAGAGTCTAGGACCAGAGGGCATAGTCTCAGAATTGAGGAGTGCCAATTTAAGACTGAGATGAGAAAGAATGTCTTCTCTGACTTTTGAGTCTTTGGAACCCCCAGCCACAGAAATGTTTGGGGGCAAAGTCCTTGTATTATTTAGGGCTGAGATAGATGGAGATTTAGATAGAGATATCGAGAGACTTGATGAGTAGGGGCATCAAAGGTTTTGGGAAAAGGGCTGGGAAGTGGATGTGAGGAGTGTTCAAATTGCCATGATCCTATTGAATGGTGGAGCAAGTTTGAGGAGCCAAATGGCCTTTTCCTGTTCCTATTTCTTATTGTCTAAGTGGTTCAGAAGGCAAATTAATGTTTTCATTTAGTAAGGGGAATGGAATATAAAAGTAGAGAAGTTTGTTCATTTGTACAGGGAGTACAGTGTACAGTTTTGGACCCATGACTTAAGAGAAGGTTCACTCAACTGATAACCACCACATCCCAGGCTATGTTATGGAACAAGGCTGGACATTAGAAGAATGAGGGGTGATCTTGTTGAAACATACAGGATCTTTAGGGGGCTTACTAAGGCGGATGGTAAAAAGATGTTTCCCCTCAAGAAGGAACGAGAACTAGGGGCACAGTTTCAAAATAAGAGGGGGACGGCTCTCATTTGAGATGCAAAGATCTTTATTTTTCCCTGAGGGTCATTGGTTTGCAGAATTGTCTTCCAAGGATTGCTGTGGAGTCAGGGCCATTGAATATTTTTAAGGCTGAGTTAAAGATTTTTGAGGGACAAGAAAGTGGGTGGAATGTGGAATTGAGGCTACATCGAATTAACTGTGACCTTATCAAATGGCACAGCAGGTTCAAGGGGCTGAATGGCCTCCTTCTGCTCCTAATATGTTTGTCCATGTGAGAATAATTGGGCTCATATGTGGAGGAGAGTGCATGACACAGCCATAAATTTGGGGATAGAAAGAGCAAAAACCATGCTGTCTAAATCTTCCTCTGGATGTGGTAAGCCACCCAAAGTTCCTATTGGCATGATCTTGTAGCAAATCCCAAGGAGCCTCTCTTTTGTGTGCAAAGTACCTTTTACATATATTTATGTAGAAATACAGTCATTTAAGGGTGGCCTCTTTCCCTGCCACAGAATTGCCCCAATGAAGGGTGATCAGGATGAACAAATGCCCAGATCTCTGAATTACAGAACCCACACAGCATTCTCCTTTTTAATATCCTTTGATTACTTATTTATGGTAACTGATCATTCCTAACGTGTCCTTCAGTCTTGTGAAAGAGTTTAACTTCACGTCTGTACAAGTAATTAATGGAAATTGTTTTGTCGTTTGTTTTGAAAATCCTTTAGGTTACTGATGGGGCCACAGTTGCTCTTGTCCCACGCCTCAGCAAGCACATTCACCATGAGAATCATGATTTTACTGCAGGAGAGAGTGAGTGAAGAACTGCATCTTTGTTCTCTGTTAACCATTAAACACTCTTGTGTTTCGATCTGGGGAGGGACAAAATACGTTTGAAGCGAAGTAATCAAATTTTAGGAACCCGACAGTTCCAATCCAATATTTTCCACAAGAATTGACAATGAAATTGGAATTCAAGGACCTTATACCAGAAGTCTTGAATACTGTATGAGTAGCTTCACCATAGTGATGCATTGAGATCACAAGGTAAACTAACTCGGATTACTAAGTGGGAAAGGAGCATGGTGGCCACTGCAGATGGCTGTAAAATTTTAAATAGTTTTGTTTAAGTAAATGTAAGTTCCACGTTCATCAAAACCTTTGCTAGTTTGCTTTTGACTCTTGGGGAGTGCCTTGTCTGAAATATATTTAGTCTTGTTTTTCTTTTCTGTTTTGCACATGTTTCTCTTCCTTCTCCTCCCTCCTCACGCCACTCCAGAGACACCGATGTTGGAAGATGCAGATGAAGGAGGGATCAAAGTCTGGCACCTGGTCAAAGCCAGTGAAGAACCTGAACTGCCCAAACACAGAAGGGGCAGCCTGCGGGAGCGGGAACGAGCCAAAGCCATTCCTGAGATCTACCTGACACGATTGCTTTCCATGAAGGTAGGAGCCAGCTTGCTTCAAAAAAAAGGCAAGAAGAAGGTTAAAGACAATGTTGACGTGGCCTGACCAGGTTTCTAATGGAAATAGTGGAATGTGGTTTATCTCTGCTGTTCTAATACTGGCTCACCCACTGCAGACATCTTTCATTTCATAGCAATCGCAGATCATAGAATCCTTACACTGTGGAAACAGGCCATTCGGCACAACAAGTCCATACCGCCCCTCCGAAGAGCATCCTGCCCAGACCCATTCTCCTACCCCTGCATTTCCCATGTCTAACCCACCTAGAAACTATGGGCAATTTAGCATGACCAATCCACCTAACCTGTCCACCTAACCTGTACATCTTTGGACTGTGGGAGGAAACCAGACCACCCGGAGGAAACCCATGCAGACCCAGGGAGAATGTGTGGAGTGTGCACAGACGGTCACCCGAGGGTGGAATCGAACCTGTGTCCCTGGTGCTGTGAGGCAGCAGTGCTAACCACTGAGCCACTGTGCTGCCATAAAGGCAGTTGTTGGATAAACTATACCAAACACAGTTGTCATTTTAAGAGAGACCATTTTGAGCCTCTTATCTTGCTGTACCTTTCAGGGCACGCTGCAGAAGTTTGTAGATGACCTCTTCCAGGTGATTCTCAGCACAAGTCGGCCTGTCCCTCTTGCCGTCAAGTATTTCTTTGACCTCCTGGATGAACAAGCAGTACACCATGGGATTACTGATACAGAAACTATTCACATCTGGAAAACAAACAGGTACTTGAGACTGCATAATCATCAGATTTAATTTGATTTGATTTGTATTGTTGTCACATATATTGAGACCATGAAACATCTTGTTTTGCATGCTCTATAGGCAATGCTGGATATGTTTACATCTGTCTGTGTGCACTTAATTTTATATCTGTCCTGACTTGCACGCGTATAATGTCTTGTAAGTATGCAAAGTGTCCCAAGGTTTATCAGAGGCACTGACTGGATAAAAAATTGACATCAAGCCAAATGTTTGATCAAAGAGGAAGGTTTGAAGCAGCATCTTAAAGGAAGAAAGGCAAAGAGATTTGCAGAGGGAATTTTCACACCTTTCTTGTAGTCTTTATATGTCTATACCTTTGATGTTTTTCTACTGGGTGAAGTCACTATTTCTGCTGATGGGTTGAATTTTGTTGAAAAGGTTATTAATGAGATTTAAAAAAAAACAAAAGTGAAAGGAAAAGGCTTGATTTTTGAAATATGGCTCAATCTCTCCATGGCATTTCTTGCAAGTTGAAAGCAATGACAGGTGATTGAAGTGTGTCATCTAGTGTGTCATTCCTGCTTCTAAAGTGTACACACCAAGGTTTAACTTGGCCTGGTTCTTTTGAAGCCATGACGCCTCTTGAAATATGGAGAAGCCTATATCAGCCACAAGATTAATTACAATTGGTGGAGGTGGGTTGAAGGTTCAGTTGGCGCTTGTACCATTTCCTTCCAAGTTAGAAGAGACCGAAATATAACGGCTGCCTTTTTTTCCTTCTTTTTCGTTTTACTTTCTTAATTGTGATAACTGATGTGTGATGGTTGCAATAAATGCAAATGGCTTGTTTTTTTTTATCAGTGCTCACTAGGACATGAGGTGCAGTCAGTCGCAGAAATGAACTAGTTAATCACTGCATTATGTTTTATCAGAGAATCCCTACAGTGCAGATCGAGGCTATTCGGCCCATTGAGTCTGCACCGATCCTACCGAGACAGTTCCGTTCCCCTACCCTATACCTGTAACCCTGCATTTCCCATGGCTAACCCACCTATGCTGCACAGCCCTGGATACTAGGGGCAATTTTGTATGACCAGTCCTCCTAACCTGCTCATCTTTGGACTGTTGGAGGAAACTGGAGCACCCAGAGGGAACCCATGTAGACACGGGGAGAACGTGCAAACTCCACACAGACAATCACCCGAGGGTGGGGTGTCCCTGGTGCTGTGAGGCAGCAATGCTAACCACTGAGCCACTGTGTCACCCTTGCAGTTTGTGTTCACTTTCATTTTACTTATTCTTTCATGGAATGTCGCTGTCGTGGCCAGGGAATGTTGTCCACTGCTATTTACCCTTGACCTGAGTGGCCTGCTGGGACATTCCAAAATGCAGTGAAGTGTCAGCCACATTACTGTGGGTCTGGCTGGGTAAGGATGGCAGGTTTCCCTCCCTTAAAAAAAAATCAGTGACCCAGGTGGGTTTTTACAACAATTGATGACTTTTTCATGTTCACCATTAGTGAGGATTGTTTTCAATTCCAGAACCAGCCTATAGGATTCAAACCTGTGTGACCACAGCATTAACTTGGACTTGTGAATGACTAGGCTGGCGATGTTCCCATGACATCACCATCTTCCCTGTGCAACCCCTTACCACCCACATCATGGAGAGTATCTTATCGTGGGAAACCCGATTTTACTGCAGTCCTGGTCAAACAATATACTCCACTCTAATGACCTTCAGACAGGAAACCTAACTAGACTGTGGCTTTAGTGGAACCTCTGCCCAGGTAGATGGGCTAAGCAGCCAAGATAGTGTCTCTAACTTTCTGCACTGTTTCTTTCAGTAACAACCTATGGCAACCATTATCATTTCCAGGTGCAGTCCTGAAGTTTGTTTTTTTTCACTCACTGTTTACAATTTGCCCATCTCTGCTCAATGCAAGCAAGAACTGCATCAAACTATTTAAGACAGATTTTACTATGTTCTGTATTCCATTTCTAATTAATAAAGCATTGGAGTGATATAATAACTTGAGATTTTCCTATTTTTTGCAAACAGTAGGCTAGATGTTTGGTACCATGATCAGTGATGCACTGAAGTTAAGTTGCTGTTGTGTGTCTGGACCCTGATGAAGTACAATGTATTTACAGACTCTGTAGTTTCCCAGGAAGTAGAAATCTTCAGTTGGCTGATTTAGTGGTGCTGGGGACATTTCACAATTATCTTATACGCTGACTTCAGTATCAGAGAGCTTTGAATAATTATGCTGTGTAATCTCTGGTGTAATTCTGAGAGTATCAGTATAATGCTATGTTTTAGCCCCATGACGTACATATACTGGGGGAGGCAATGGCCTAGTTGTATTATCACCGGACTCTTAATCCAGAAACCTAAGTAAATGTTCTGGGTTCCAGGTACAAATTGCACCATGGCAGATGGTGGAATTTGAACTCAATACAAATCTGGAATTAGGAGTCTAAGTGATGACCACAACGACAATTGCTGATTGTTGGAAAAACCCATCTCGTTCACTAAGGTCTTTTGGGAAGGAAACTGCCATCCTTACCTGGTCTGTGATTCCGGGCCCAACGCAATGTGGTTGACTCTTAATTGCCGGGAGGGCAGGTAGGGATAGGCAGTGAATACTGGCCTGGCCTCACCAGTGACACTGCTATCCCACGAATGAATGTTTTTTAAAAAAAAAAAAAAAAAAATCTCCACCCCACAACACACAAAACCCAGAGCGCACCACCCCCCCACCCCAACTCTGCCATGGCCAACTGCATGCCCAGCACAATGACCCTTCACCCAACCCAATCCAACTTCATTAGAAATGACCTCTCACACTCCTCTGACCTGACTGATCTACGGCCTCCCCATTCACCCACTCATTGAATCACTCCTCGACTCCTTAATCGTTCACCCCACACGTCAATCATTGACTCACTCATGCACTCACTCCACTAAAGCCATTGAGATCCTATCTGAGTGTGGCAAATTATGTTATCAAAAGGGGATGTGCCGCTTGTATTGCTCCTCTTTGCTATCTCCTCCTGTGCTGCTCCCTATCACCGGCACTACCTGTGGATGGCTGCCCTGAAACCTCATTGATGCAACCATGGATGGAAGTTCCAGCTGGAAAAATGGTTGGAGTGCCGGGATTTCCAGAGTCAGCGATGATTATCCCAATTCTCAGACTGGAAAATCTAAACCAATGAGTCCTTACAGCCACAAACCAGACCTCAATGCACACAAATCCACAACGTGACAATGTTGCTATATTAACCTTTCACTGTGTTAAATAACCAGTTGCAAATCAGACAGCTAGCCCTAACCAGAGATGTTCCACTGAGATTTCCTTCTCTTCTGCACCAAATGTTAATATTTAGCCTGGGCCCATAAGTTTTATCTGTATCTGTGTTTCACTTTGCTGCATATCTATTACTCTGTTTCCTTTCACTTCTCATCCTGTTAAGTGAACTATACGTTTGTATGTGTCTGTAGGTGCACAAAAATGCCAAGTGGTTAGGTGTCCTTATTTACATATGTATATACATATGATATGGACTACAGACTGTGCAGCTCCATTCCTTTCAATGAAAACAGAGCAAGTTGCTTAATTCCATTGGTTAACCATAGAAAATCATAGAATCCCTGCAGTGTGGAAACAGGCCCTTCGGCCCAACAAGTCCACACCGAACCTCAGAGCATTCCACCCAGATTCATCCCCCTATAACCCACCTCATTTACACCTCCCTGAACACTATGGGCAATTTAGCATGGCCAATCCACCTAACCGGCACATCTTTGGACTGTGGGAGGAAACTGGAGCACCCGGAGGAAACCCATGCAGACACAGGGAGAATGTGTAAACTCTACACAGACAGTCGCCCGAGGCTGGAATTGAACCCGGGTCCCTGGTGCTGTGAGGCAGCAGTGCTAACAACCGTGCCGCCTGTAGGAAACGTGGAAATCAAATCATACTGTCTTATTGTTATTGGTTCAGAGATAGATAAATATTGGTCAGTACATACTGGAAGAGGGATGGGCAAACATCCTTAGTCGTCTTCTAAGTAGTGTCATCTGGTGGAGAAGGAAAGAACTGTGATTGGCCAATTCAATATGATTAATTTATTTGAGTCAAAAATGTGACATTTGATTTGTTTTCAGTACAAAACAGATCTTGTGCAATATTTAGTTATATTGATAGGTTTATAAAATGTATCTGCTTGTACGCTTTAGATGGATCTAGAACCATGATGTGTTCTGTGCCCTGCCTGTTTCATGTGCTAACCTTTGGGCAGAGGAAGGATCATGGGATCAACAATCGATCTAGGAAGGATCATGGGATCAACAATCAGATCTAGAAAGTATCACAGACCTTTCACAATGTACTGCAACAAGCTGGCCTTTGTGGTGCATTTCCCCAGCAACAAAACACAGATGGAGTTTAATTTGGATAAATGTGAGGTGCTGCATTTTGGAAAGGCAAATTGGGGCAGGACTTCTATGTTTAATGGTAAGGTCCTGGGGAGTGTTGTGAACAAAGAGATCTTAGAATTTAGGTTCATAGGTCCTGAAAGTGGAGTCACAGACAGAATCGTGAAGAAGGTATTTGATATGCTTGTCTTTATTGGTCAGTGCATCGAGTGTAGAAGTTGGGAGGTCATGTTGCGGTTGTACAGGACATTGGTTTGGCTACTTGCAAAGTATTGCATGTTATTCTGGTCTCCCTCCTATAGGAAGGAAGTTGTGAAACTTGAGAGGGTTCAGAAAAGATTTATGAGGATTGTGCCAGGGTTGGAGGGCTTGAGCTGTAGGGAGAGGCTGAATAGGCTGGGGCTATTTTCCCTGGAGTGTCGAAGGCTGAGGCGTGACCTTACAGAGGTTTATAAAAGTATGAGGAGTATAGACAGGGTGGATAGTTGAGGTCTTTTCCCTGGGGTGGGGAAGTCCAAAACTAGAGGGCATAGATTTAAGGTGAGAGGGAAATGATTTAAAAGGGACTCCAGGGACAACTTTTCCATGCAAGGGTGGAGTATATATGAAAAGAGCTACCAGAGGAAGTGTTGAAGCCTCGATGATTACAACATTTAAAAGGCATCTGGCTGGGTACGTGAATAGGAAGAGTTTAAAGGGAAATGGGCCAAATGCTGGCAAATGGGACTAGATTAATGTAGGCTATTTGGTTGGCATGGACGAATTGGACCAAAGGGTCTGTTTCTGTGTTGTACATCTCAATGACTCGATGATATGTAAAATGAAGTTGTTTCCTCATAGTTTCAACATCATGATGCCAGGAATTGAAATCAGTTATGAGGAGAGGTTTGAGAGGCTTGGTTTATTTCCATTAATGCGGAGAAAGAAAAGAGGTACAGGAGAAAATTGATAGCATTCATGAGATATGGATGGAGGATATGAGTAAAAAGAAAGAATGTATGGTTCTCCAGCTCATTATAACACTAAGGTACCCCAAATGCTTCAGTGTCACTGAAATTTTCCCGTTACAAAGAGCTTTGCAACATTCAAATCGCACATAACCAGGCCCCACAAATAGCACCACGAGTTGAATTACTATTTAATCTGCTTGTAACTGTGTTGAATAAGGTAAAAATATTGGCTAAACCAGAAGGTTCTTCTCTCAAATGCCACGGAGTCTGTAGTGAGGTTAATATAAAGTAACATTCTTTGTTGCATGGAGAATGCAATTATTTGGTGGCTGTTGACGAAGATGGAAAATGAAGAAGATTGAGCAGTGACTGACCATTCATGAAAAGAATCCACTAAATGCAGTGATTATGAAACCAGGTGATGTTGCAATACTTTAAGTTTCTTTAACAATATATTGTGACCATAAATCATTCTTTTCCTGTGTCACAGTCAGAGACAGTTAGGCAATTTTGTCTGCCAGTGTAGGCACCTGGCTGGAGAAGGTGAGTGGTAGATCATAAAACATTCCAGAAATGAAACATATTCAGGATGTAAACATTCAAGTTAATGAAAATTGAATCAAAGAACAGCAGAACTAAAATTATTAAATTCTGCAAGAAGTGGAATTTAGAGCCATAACAGGGTTATTTGAGTTGTAATCTTTTTGTTTTTCATCTTTTTATTTTGTTTTTATTCCAGTCTGCCTCTTCGTTTCTGGATAAACATTATTAAAAATCCTCACTTCACCTTTGACGTTCAGGTGTCAGATAATGTGGATGCCATGCTATCGGTCATTGCACAGACCTTCATGGATTCCTGCACTATAGCAGAACATAAACTGGGCCGGGTAAGTCTGCCAATAGATGTTGAGGAAGAAAGGCTAGGAAGGAAAAGATGCCCATGAAAATACCCCGGCAACCACTTAAGCTAATAACAGGAAACATATTAAAAAGGGACATTGTAATTTCAGTGATGCCTTTGACAACCTCACATTTTTCCTCTAGGAATAGGTTCTTTATGTTTTGGACTACCCCTTCAGATGCTTCATCCTCCTTTAGAGGGAGATGAAGAGTTGTCATTTTCTCTGGGCTTTGGCTTCTTGCAATGAAGGATGCTGTAACCGGATGGCTTATTCTTCACATTCCTTAAGGGAACCGTTAGTTGACGACAAGGTATCTGAGGGGATTTGAGTGAACAAGAGAAATTTTCTGTAGCCAATTTTGTAGAGCCAATAAAAGAGTAACGCACCTGAGAAGAGAGAGGTCTGCATTTCTGTTTGAAACCTTATATTTGAGACAATGTGCTCAAACCGATGCTCAAATGACTGCATGTCCTTTCAAATGAGTACCAGGCTTCAACTCAAAGTGAGCTTCAAGCTGCAGCAGCTTGCTGTTAGTTTGCAGTGGAGTTTCATGTATTGGCTTGATGTTGTCACATTCTATTGACTCAACATTAAAAGATTCAACTTGTGTAATACGTCTAACACATGCAGTGCACTGTCCACCCAACCTTTTACTTTTAAAGCATTTGCTGAGATTCAACTAGTGCAGAATTTGTTGCTATGATGTGTCCTGTAGCTTTAGGTGTACCTGATGTGACCCTGCTGATTTTTCAATTCTAGGATTCTCCAATTAACAAACTGCTGTATGCTAGAGACATCCCTCGATACAAACAGATGGTGGAGAGGTAAGAATCTTGTTTTTCTCTCATTGCCCCAGGGATGGGGTCACCACATAAATGACAAAAATAAGAATTACCAATTTGTTGAACTAGAATGCATTGGTAGGGACGAACTTTGGTTACACGTTTTGCTGGCTGAACATTCAGATTTGAAGCCATTTCTTTGTCATGTCTTTCTTTGACCTTACCTTTTCTCAATACTTTTGGAATGAAGGTGAACTTTCAGTGAACAAAAACCAGGCTTCCAAGAGCTAGGAGTCCCTTTTTAAAAACAAGGCCTATTTCAGGCACAGTTGAGGACAATTTCTTTTTTCACAGAAGAATGAGAATCTTTGGATTTCTCTTGCTTAAGTGGTGTTGGAAGCAGAGCCTTTGAATATTTTTAAGGTAGATATTCTTGAGAAGCAAAGGGGTGAAAGATTATTGGGGGTAGATGGGAATGTGGTGTAACTAGATCATCTGCGATCTTATTGAACGATCGCGCGGTTTCAAAGGGCCATGTAGTGTTCTCATGCTCCTAATTCTTATGTTTGTTTGCAAATTTCACCCAATGTCGGTACAGAATATTCAGAGGGAACTATTCCACTACAACAGCGAACAACTTTCTAGTTGGTTAACCATGTAGCAAGGACATACTATTGTCAGGGAAAGGCTTGAACTGCTGATGGCTTGTCTTCTCTCCAAACAATGGGACCCCTGACAGTTGTTTTTAGCACTGCTTGCTCAAGCTAGGATGTTTCCTTCTCTGGTAAAGATTCTTCTTCCTCCTGACAGAAAAGAAGAGTGGATAAAATCAAGAAGTAATTCAGTTATACACCTGACCTAGTCCCTAAAACTGATCAAGGAAATTTGGCTGATTGGATGAAGAGTTGGCTGAGTGGTGGGAAGCAGAGGGTGAGGGGCAAGGAGTGGTTTTTGTAACTGTATCCAGTGGGGTTCTACACAGATCAGTCTTGGGGCCCTTACTATTTGTGGTGTATATAAATAGTTTAGACTTTAATGCAGGTGGGTTGATCAACACATTTATGGATGATAATGATCATGAAAACTGTGGTGTGGTAAATAGTGAGGCAGATACACTTAAGATATTCTTAGATTACAGGAATATATAGATGGGCTGATCAGTGCCAAATGGAATGCAATCCATATAAATGTGAGGTGATGTACTTGGGCAGGACAAACAATGCAAGAGTTTACATGATAAACCGTCACATTCTGGGAAGCATCAAGGATCAGAGGGAACTTGGTGTGCATGTCCACTGGCCCTTTAATTAGTGGAGTAGATAGATAAAGTTGTTAAGATGGCATATGGGATAGTGTAACAACAGGGAGATTGTACTGGAAATGTGTAAAAGGTTGGTTAGACCACAGCTAGAGAATTGTGTGCCATTCAGTGTTCCACATTATAGGAGGGTTGAGATTGCACTGTAGAGAGCACAGATGAGATTTACCAGGATGTTCCTAGGGCTGGAGATATTGTTATAAAGACAGATTGGATAGACTGGGATTGTTTTCCTTGAAACAGAGGAGATTGAGGGGGGACCTCATGATTGAGATGTATAAAATTATGAGAGGCATAGATTAGATACATAGGAAGGAACTTTTCCTCTCAGTGGAAAGATCAAAAACCAAGGGACATAGATTTAATGTAAGGGGCAGGAGGTTTAGAGGGGATGTGAGGAAAAACATTTTCACTTGGACGATGGTGGGAATCTGGAACTTACTGTCCATAAGAGTGGGTAGAGGCAGAAACCCACATAACATTTTAGAAGTATTTAGATGTGAACTTGCGATGCCAAGGCGTACAAGGCTTTGGGCCAAGTGCTGGGAAATGGGATTAGAGTAGTTAGGCAGTTGTTTTTGACTGGCACAGACGAAGGGATCTCTAGGATTCTAGACATGAATTTATTGCTGGAAGAAGGTGAAGATTTTCACTGGATTGGAGGATTTGGAATCATTTTGTAATAAAAATACTCTGAAGACTGCTGGAAATCTGAGATTATAACAGCAAACACTGGCCATACTGAGCACCTCCTGGCATCAGCCTTGGAGGGAGAAGCAATTAAGGCCTGAATATTGATAAAAGACCATAGACCTGAAGCTTTGACACTTTTTGTTTATGTCTGTCCACAGATGAAACCAGAACCTGCTGAGTATCCACAGCATTTTGTTTTTATTGTATAACTATAACTACCAAGGCCAACATTAAGTTAATCAAAGCATAATGTCCAATACTCTCCTTGTACAATGTACAACTAGCTTGGATGTCATTCACATTTCATTTGTTGAAATGTAACACTTTGCTGAATAAAATGCATGCTTTTCTAATTGTTTTCAAACTGTAAGCTTTGCATTTGACTTGTGTTCATAAGGCATGGTCTTGTATCCTAACACCCCTTTTAGGTTTGGACAGTGTGGTCTGAACTTGGATTTCTCATTCAGAAACATTACTCAGAGTTCCTGAGCCGGGATGTTTTTTGAATGTGTACTGGTCAACTGGGACAAGTGTAATTCAGGGCAGGATGTTGTTCTACTTGTTGTCTGCCCTTACTTTCCAATGTGACAAGATCCCTACAGCAATGAGAATGCGTGCTGATTGCATCTGCACCCACTCTTTCAGCTCCACCCCAACCTGAGAATTGTCGGGAAGACGTTCCCCACCAATTTTACCTTCTCTGCTGTCTGTAAGTGACATCTGGAAAAGTGTCAGCATGTAATGCTGGCTGCAGTGGAACTCATGCTGTTGATTTCATAATGTTGATAAATCTGTTTACAAATAATTTAAGAAAATCAGCTGGTAACTAGTGCACCATTCATTTGGAACCTTATCATTGATCTACATGACAGAATAAGCAATTGGAAGAATTGATACTTGCCATGACAGCGTTGACTTCCCAAGGAAAAGAGACCTGAAACTTTACAAAAATTCTAATGGCATTGTCTGGGATAACTGTCAATACAATTATCTCAATCCTTCAGGGCTTTACAAACTAATTATTATCCAGGAGCGAAAACAAAGCTGCTGGAAAAGCTCAGCAGGTCTGGCAGCATCTGTGAAGGCAAAAAACAGAGTTAACGTTTTGGGTCCGGTGACCCTTCCTCAGAACAGGAAGGGTCACTGGACCTGAAACGTTAACTCTTTGTTCCTTCACGATGCTGCCAGACCTGCTGAGCTTTTCCAGCAACTTTGTTTTTGTT